ATAACTTGACTCCTAAATAAAGTTTATTGTCTTCATATATGACTTAAGACAATATGAAGTTTTATTGTTGGGATGATGAATTACTATTTCGCAAGAGGGGTACAGCAATAGCACCTGAGGGTCATTAACTCTATAGTTACGATTTTAAATTACAGGTTTTACAATTTCGTTTTCCTTAACCATTCATTCATTACTTGCGAGGAGTGTTCGGGATTTTTTTTTTGATAAAAGGGAGAATGATAACAGGTTCGAATAAGAATCTTTGAAAGAACCAGTATCGAGAACTAACTCACCGGTTATAACTCCAGATCGACAACTTTCTTCGTTTTCAATCAGCTATCTTCTGAGGGTGTGTCCCTACTAGTCACGCCATATGAATTTTAAAATGGAGAGTGAATTCTATTCTTGTTATGATGAAATACTTTCTCGCAAGAGAGGTATTCTGATCCAAAGCAGTAGCATCTGAGGGTTGTTAAGACTATAGAGGTACGATTTTAAATCCTCGAATGAACACTTTCTTCCACTACATTACTTTCAACTACCCTGTACATTGCGATTTAAATACCGAAACTTTTCAAACGAAAAGTTTTTTAGGCATTTGTCAAGAACCTGATGGACTTAATGTATGAAACTTGAAATCAGAATAAATATTGAAAAGCTAAATAATGTATAATGTACACCAGAGAGGTGGCATACTTGTGACTCCTTAAGTAATATACTTGGCCTAATTCCCCGCTGTCCAGTTGTCCTCACCCAACGGCCCGAACTCCAGAAGCCGAGCACAGCTGCGCCGAAGAAGAGGGACATTCCTCAGCCCAGGTTTGGCGAGGTAAGTGCCCCCGCTGCTCCACCTCGCCGGGCAGGTTGTCTTCGACCACTCTGCGGCTTGCAAATCCTCATCATCTACTTCCCCCTTCCCCACTATCCGCTGTATTCAATGCATTTCACAAGCTGCAATTGGAATCTGCAGCTGGTAAAAACACGATCGTGTTTCTACTTTTAGAATATTACAGGTATTATAGGTGTCTGTATATTAAGAGTATGTATCTTATCAATGGATTTGGTACACCTGACACCTTTCTTCCACCCACATTCTACATAAAAGTAGAAGTACCATTTAGATAAAGGCTCGCTTCATGCAGTTTACGTCTGCTTTGATCTCTACAGAAAGAGAGACACGTTTTTAAACACTATGATTTGCAACAAATAACAAAACTTGTTTAAGGAGAAGGGAGGATAAGATATTTAAAAATAAAATTCGATTCGGCTAAATCAATCTCTCTCTCTCTCTCTCTCTCTCTCTCTCTATATATATATATATATATATATATATATATATATATATATATATATATATATGGGGGGCTGGATAGCCCTGCGGGCTAAGGCGCTTGTAATAGGTAACCAAGATAAGTAACGCCAAGCGTGGTTAGCAGTTGGATGGGTGACTGCCCACCGGGGAAAGCCACGCTGCCCAAGACCTCCCTTCCGGGTATGTGAGACCCGTCAGACTACTGGAGGCAACTCACACCAACCGGGCGTAGGACTGATGACCCTACCTCCTTGTATTTAAAATCGGGAATCGGGATGTGGTCTAGGCTCCCCTAGACCCCATCTCGCGGACAAAGATCTTCATGCTCTATAGCGCCAACCGAAAAAAAAAAAAAATATATATATATATATATATACACACACACACATATATATATTAAAATAATTATTTAATTGTGAATAAGTTCATTTAATTATTAAGTTACCTTAAAGATTAAGTGACCTTATTCCTAATTAAATAATTATTTTAAAATATAATACTCAAAGATCGATTAAAGAAATTTTGTATATATATATATATATAAATAAATATATATATATAGAGAGAGAGAGTTTGAATAGAAGAATTAACCTGTTAATTGTAATAATTAACGGTCCAAAGGGCGTTGTCCATGTTAGCCTAGCATGGCACAGTGCCCCCCTCTCCCCTCTCCGCCCCCTGTGAAAACCTGCTTACATTGTAAAATTTTCTAAAAAATTGACAAATTGATTTAATAACTCATATCCCACCCTATTTTTTTGTTTCGTTTTTTTACATCAAAACATTGATATAATTTTTGGATGAAGGATTCCCTTCCTGTCTGAAAGTCCACTCCCATAGATCCGCCAGTGCCCAGAAGGGACTAAGGGCGCAAGCTGCGCCATCAGAAGTTTTTTAGGGGCATACTTTTATTGCGTTGTGAATTTTTGAGGAGGAAACAAATTTATGTGGTCATGAATTTTTGAAGAGAACCTTATTTTTCTGCAATGTTAATTTAGGAGAAAGGGAGAGGAGGACTTCCATACTAAGGAATAAGAGATAAAAAATTTCTTAGGGCATGCACCATCATCCTTGAGGGGGATGGGAACTACAATTCGCCATCGTACGGTAATCATCAATATTTGTTATTTCCTGATAAGCTTTATAATAGCAGGCGAGTTGAACGAACGGGCTAATGCGTGTGCTAAGCACCGCGCGTTGTCCGGCAACTCGGATCAAAGATAATTACTTGGTCACGTCATGGTGAGCGGGGGAGGGGGCTTTTAATTCTGTATTAATTCCCCGCCCTCACCCCCTGGACAGGGAAAACTCCTGCTTAACAGGCAAGGACGAAAAAAAAGGCTTTATAATGAGGCAGTGATGGCCGAGCGTTTCCCGCTTAAGCATTCTCGAGTCTAGCGATGCCTGTTCGAATCCAGCCTAAGCGGGTATTTATTTCGTAGCCATGGAACCACGGAATGAATCTCGACCTTCCCACAGTGGTTAGAATAGGATTTATCTCTAGAACGACCCCTCATTTTACCAAAATGGCGAGGTTGGGAGTAATTAAATAAAAAATAAAAGAAGAAAAAAAGATATGCTTTATGATGATGATGTTAATCTCCAAGTATTTGGTGTAGTAATATTCTTGGTTCTCCTTCTGATGAAACCAGACATACCCTTAGGTTAGGTTAGAACTACACAAGGATAGTAGAGCTACATGTTTGGTTTCATCGAGAAGGAGATGCTGATTCACCCATGTTGTTAATTCATTTCAGTATAATTAACAACATGGATAGGATTTTCGATTTGTATGCACATGTTTGTGTTTAATTTTAATAACTAAATCTTTCACAAGAAATTTCGATTTCATGTTTTTAGCTTATTGAAGGTATGATTTGCGACCTTTTTACATAGAAACTTTTTTTTTTATTCAGCATAAAATTTCTTGTTAAGTTCCGTAGCCACTGAACATTTTTTGCACATAATCGCTTTTTCATCCCCAATGGGCGCCTAGTTAAAATTGGTTATAAAGAATAAGTTGTTTACCAGTAGGATAATCAACTACGTGCTCTAGTTGGAGTAAATAAGAATGTTCAATTCGAGTAAACAAATATCAGACAGAAGCTTTAATATCCATAAAATATGACTTGGCACAGCCAGATAACTGTGCGTTGAACTGGGAAACAAGAGATGTTTTTTCTTTACATTGAATATATTATTTAATGATTATTATGTAATATGGCGATGATCCCTGAGATAGTTAATAGGTTATGACTACCTTAAAATAATTGCAAATGTCCGAAGGATCAATTAGTTATTGGTGTGAGCTGGGCTGGGATGTTGCCTTGAGCCTTGGGGTCAGGGGTCGACTTCCCACGCACCTCCCTTCGCCATTCTTCGTCAGGAACTATCAAGAAGGCTTGTAGTAACCTTGGACTTATATTACGCGTAATATATACATATTTAATTCATAAGATCTGTTAAACATATATAAATAGCTATCAAACTCGTCCTCTAAGTGAAACAATAATAATTTCATCTTCTAATCCTGTACGCAAATGAACAATTTTTTTTAATATGTTTTGTCTGCAAAACGAATTTAGAAATCGAAGTTGCTCAAACGTTTTGACAAGAGTTCCATATAATTAATGCCTTATAAATCGGTTGGCGTAAACCACAGATGGATCTAAGGAGAGGAGTTGGGCTTTCGAACTGAAGCCCCCCCAAAAATATTAAAATATAACCATGCCTTATGAAATAAATATTAAAAACCTATTTGTGAAAGTATTATTGTTCGTGCAATTAAATTTAATGGAACTTCAAGAATTAATTAAACACCATTTCATATAGGTAATTAGTTAGTTTCTTAAAAAAAAAAAAAATTTGGTCTGAAGGCCTCCCCCAAAATTCAATCTTTGATTCGCAAGTGGCGTAAAACGAACTGTAAGGGTATAATAGAAGGAGAAATTGTTTTAAATTTGGAGAGAGGGCAATTAATTTAAGGGAGGAATTTATTAATATAAGATTAGTAGGGCGATCTCCTCTCCCACCAATAAAAATAGTGAGGGGCGAGAATATCTTTTTGCCACCTACTCCTCAATAATTTTTAGTAAATAAAAAATAATGACAAATAATTAATATAAGAAGGTTTTTCGTATCTTAATGTATTTAAGGCAGAGAAATTGTGAATGTCATACTTTTATGGTTGATATCGAACAAATATATTTCATACAGAATGTTTTTTAAAGACATATTTCCATACTATTAGGACTATAAAAACTTTTTTATTTATTTTGAGATTGAATAAACTAAGGAATTAGAAATATTTTTGTTTTTAACATTAATCATTTTCAGCTAAAAAAAATTCAACAAATGTACTTATGTTATGGAATCTTTCTCTCAATATCAATACTTAATGTATATGAATATATATAATGTATTATTTCAGATATTTTCCAATTATCATATATGGGGATTATCTTGGGAAAATTAAGATGAAAACTTTGCATTTATGATCACGAACTACTAATCATTGTTCATAATTTTTTTAGAATTTAGAAATTGTTTATAAACAATACAGTATTAATTATTTTATTTTCATTTTTACTGTATATTCATTATAAGGTTTTTTTATAACATATTTTATAACATTTTAAACATATCTTTATAACAAAATATGGAATAATAATTTTTCTTATGATTTCAGGTTTTTGTCTGTGGTTCCATGGTGAATTTGTACACAAGCAGAGGTGGAGATGGCAGATGGAACTTACAGGCTACTGGCGTCCCTGTTGTGCTCCTTGATACGGGTAACTTAAATTAATCCATTTACTCTTTACAATTCTTCCCTCTCCTCTTTTTCTAATGAACTGACCATTCAATGGAGAAAATCTCCGTGATTCTTTGACTTTGCTATATGTTCATAACATATGGTTATTACAATCTGGAATGTAGTGTAGATCAATCTCTGGTGCTTGCACACTTAATTAAGTACACAAAAAACGTTTAAATTTCTCCGGAGTCTATTTATGTCAAGGTTGTTGAAATTTACTTCTGACAGTCTAATTTCATGTATCGATATTTCCAATTGGTCTGTTATAAGATGATGGATTGAGAAGAAAACTTTGGAAGTATATGTCAGCTGACATTTTAATAAATTTATACCATTCCTCTTAAATCCATGACATCCTCTTAATTGTGTCCTTAAAACTTGTGGATCTAAGGAGCAGTGGATTCCAACTGAAGGCTTCTCCTCCTTTCTCCTCCCCTCTCCCCCCAAAATTGTAATGTTTTGTTTTTTTCATTAGTCCATAATTATTTCAGTGACTTATCTGAGCTAAATCACTTAAACAATCACAATATCTATATTACTATGCTAAAGCATTATTGTTTCTGTAATGATCTGTTTTTTTTTAACAGAGGACTTCGAAGACCATTTAAACATCATTTTAAATAGTTTATTTTTCTTGCAGAGTAATTACTGTTATAAAAAAAAGAAAAAAAAGAAAACCCTCACCCAAAAAAAAAAATTAAATCCTATGTCCACTAACAATTCCCATAGCCCTGTTGAGAAGGTCTGGTACTTAAGAGTTTATCAGAAATGTTGGTTCAATAATATAAAGAGCTTACGTCTAAATGTTCCTATCAATAATTGTGTTTTATATTCAAACACAACGGTGTTTTTGAATTAATAGGTTGGTTATTCCCAACTCTACAATTTAATGTTCCTTGTTATGTCACAATCAAAAATACTTAAAATCAACTAAATATTGCTGGATTACAATTACTTCAAAAGATACATTCCCTTCAATTAAATCAATTCCTTCCATTAAAGCAATATGTTTCTAATCTTGATTTCATAACCATTCCCATTAATCTTCTGAGGCTTCTGAAAATAAGATTGGCACCTTCCAATGAAGAATTATCATTGGAGTGTCATTTGTGTATTTTTTTTCATAAAGTGGTAAATTTAAATAAAGAAAACTTTAAATCAATCAATCTTCCATTTTGTATATTTATATCTTTTCTTTAGACTAGTTTGTTTAAATCATTTTTATCTATACCTTTCTCTGTCAATCTGATATCTTTTTCAAGAATGTTGTTTAAAGAAATGATTTTACCAGCTTATTGATTAAAATAAATGAAAGGCAACTGACTAAGCATATCATTGATTGAATATCGTTTGTACAGGTGAAGCTCGTTCCCGCACATCGAGAGGTATTCGATTGGTTCTTGCAGAGCGGGGTTCTTCTTTCTGCCTTTGGTCTGACAAAATTGATAACTTGTCAGCATACAGGGTGTCTGGGCCTTCCTTCCACACAATGTGTCTCTCTTCTGATCACTCAACATTCATTGGTTAGTATGACATTAATCAAAATAATTATAAAAATGCACAGTTGATTGTCTCAAAAATACATAGTTCTCATTGGCAGAATTATAAGCTTGAACTAAATAAACATGTAAATTTACATTTAGGGATAGAAACTATAGAAAATTCTTAGAACGAAACAAATTTCCTGTACATTGGAAAAATTCTTTATTATGTTTTATTTTTTACAACACTCCTATTCGTCAACTTTTGAATAATCCTGGCATTTTCCTTTAATAATATTTTTAATTTAAATATTTCTGAGAACATGAAGATAAAATAAGATTTGCCAATACTTATAACCCCTAACCACCTCTGTAAAAGTACTCTTAACAATAGAGAATATTTTATTATATGCATTTTCAAAAATGTATTTGATATAGTTTTTTTTGCTGTGATTATCTTTTAATGGAGTAACTCATTAATTGACTAGTTAGTTGTAGCAACGATGAAATTTTGATATTGAAAATTTTTCTTTTGAATAAATGCTATTTAATTGGTGTTTTAAATTGTTGATATTTGATTTTATACGGAAGTTGAAAATGATTATTCTGAAACTGAAGTTTTGTACAGAGCTTCATAATACGCGGTTTATCAAGAATAGGCCACAGCTGAAATAAGTAGCCTAGGATAATGCAATATCATGACATCTTCATAAGACTCTATTTCACTTACATTGTTGGGAAAATATTTTAATTTAAAAATACATCAATTTTCATTAAAAACATCAAAAATTATCTGAATTCATAACTAATAATATAAAAAAACGTAATTTTGCCAATCGAACTCTTCAGAAAGATTTTATATTGAATAACTGTGTTAGTAATCAGGTGGTAGCTGAAAGGAGAGTGTTTGCAGTTAATATTTTTTTTTTTAGAGATTACATTTTTAGAATCCTTGATATGGATTTTATCTTGTACAGAAGTTTCAAATTTATGTAGTTGGTAGAACCGTTATAATTAGAGAATGTTATGTACCATTTTTTCATCGAAAGATTCAATGATGATTAAGTTCAGATATTCTATTTTGTTTTTGTATGTAACTCATATTGAACATTGGCAAATGGAAAGCGATCCCAAGATGATCCTCTAAACTCGACATTACTCTCGACCATTTTGTTTCCGAAACCAACCCTATTATATGTTTTATAAGATGTTATCTGGTCATTTATGAAGCTAGAAGAAAAATGTAAAGAGTTTAGGAATAATTATACCAAACCTTAGAAAAGGATAAAAGTATATTTTAAAAATCTCCATCTTGGTTATTTTTAATCTGTTTTATTATGATTCTGAAACACTTTTTTTATTGCTGATTGGGGTGACCATTGAATAATAATTTGAATTTTTTTTTTTCATTATACTTTCTGAAATATTTTTATTTTTTATATTTTATGGATAAAGGAGTGTACGACCCTCTTCCATCTTTGATATTTATTTAATGAAATGCAATTGACTATCAACCCAAAATAAAGTGTTATTCTTAACTATGATTAACAGTATCGAAAATGAATACTAAAACAAATAAAAGTTGATTTAATTTATCCTTACATCTTTTACAAAACTTCACAGATGATTCCTATGGACCTGCTTTTTGAACAAGCACCCTTTCATTGTCTAACATCTCAAAATCTATTTGAAAAATATTTTTAAAACAAAGTTTTTATTTCTCTATTTGTATCATAATAATATTATTTTTAATTTATATTGAAATCTTTTTCAGGTCTGAGTTTTGATTCAGAGTTTGCAGCACGTGAGTTATGGTCTCATATTGAACAGCTAACATCATGCCCAGAAAATATTTCTCTTTCGGTACCAGGGAGGAAAAAACGGCCAGTTCCAGCTAAAACATTACCTGCGAAGACTCACATATCACAACCTTGTTGCTTCCAGCACATTACATCTGTTGGTGCCAGAGATAAAGGTCGCTATGTCAGCCTCCAAACTTTGCTTCCTCCTTCTTTAGCCCCTCAGGAGAAAGAATGACTGCTGTAGTCATTGGTCATATTGTCACTGATATGGCCAAACACTCCTCATATATACATAATTGCTGTTGTCTTTTGATTCAATCCATATCACATGAACATGGATGTTATTAAAATGACTATAGAGTTTGTAAAAAAACGTTTTGATTAAGAACATTATTTCTTAAAGAAGGTGGAATGACCATAATGTATGTTAATAAGCCTGCACTTAAAGGATATTGAATATACTTTGTAAACTATAGTGTTTAGGCATAAAACAACTTTATATGGTTGTTACATTAAATTTTTCTGTAATATTACAATTGTTATATTGAATTTCACTATACAACAAACTATAATGTAAATAAAAATACATGCTCACAATTTTATGAGCATATATATAATTTTATTGTAAAATTGAATAGTTTTTCTTGGTCATTCAATTAGATAATGGTTGTAGCAGTAGAGTTCACTAATTTTCCACTTACTATCAAAACCTGCTATGTCTAGATTTGGAATTAAAGTCTTGTTCTAGTTTAATGATTCCTGTAATTTTATGCTTCCCAAAAGAACATGTTTCTCACTATTTGTTAGTACTAAATTTAAAACCTAAGAGGTCAGGTAATAACTTCCAAATCTTATTATGACATTAGAGTTTTTGATGGTAAGTATAAAACATTAGAGGTTTTAGTGGTAAGCAAATAAAATACTGAGTATTTTCTAGGGTTTGAAATAATGAAGATTACCTAAATATGATTGGAAGAATAGTTTTTAGATAACTACTTTTTCTTTTTAAAAAAAAAAACCTGTAAATGTCAGGTATAATTTTATAGTCTGATTTTGGAAAGTTTTATAAAATAATTTACTTCTAGAAGTAGGCAAGCCTGTAATATGGTAGCAAATAATGGCATCAGTTTGACCATTGAGTAATTTAGTAGTCTTAGATTAAACTTAGACTGTATGCACTATTTTTACAGCTCCTTCTTCTTAGTTAATTGTTTCTGAATATAAATTAAAAATAAAACATAGATTTTTAAAAGTAATTTAATGTTTAACATACAAACAGATTTGTTTAAAAAACATTTCTGAATTTCTTTGGGGCGACAGTGACATACCCCAACTGAGGATGCAATGTGTATATAAATGGCTTTGTTGTGTGATAAGGAATATTTTCCTCTAAGAAATTTGTATTTAATATTTATATTATTTTATAGTAATCTCTGTACTGTATAATTCAAGGGTATTTTATTTTGTACCCTTTTGTTTTGGAAACTAATATTGCATTATGATTAATATGCAAATGACTTGTGTCAATTTGGATTCTAATATTAGTGAAGTAATTATGATCCATTTGTGAAATGATGAATTCATCTCTATAAAATCATAGACTGTAGTTAGCTTTTTTTTCTTTTTTTTTGTTTGTAAATACAAATGTCCAATTACTATTATTAGAATAAAGACAATTGTTTCTTATTCTTTGATTGATGTAGAAGAGAAGATTTAGAAAAAAAAAATGTTAGAAATTTTAAAACCTTTAAGGAATGTGTATGAAATAAACAGATAACATATTCTTGCATTTCAATTAATTCTTGTTCAATTTATCAACATGGTTGTCAGTACTTTAAAGAAATAATATTGCGAAGTTTTCAACTTTTATGGCATAATGTGCATTCCCTGAAACCTAAACTTAGAAAAGTTAGCCTATATTATACCACTTCCTTTATATAGTTTATTTCTAGCCAGGTAGTGTATGTTCGTCTGAGTGTACATAAGCAGCCTAGCTCAAAAATTAAAAGTCGTAAGAAACTGATATTATGTACTTTTTGATAATTATTATAAATGTAAAAATACATAATATCATAAATTCATGTTATGTATTTAAGGTAGGTAAGGACAAGAATCAATGATTAAAATCTGATTTACGAAGAATATTAAAGAAAAGAAATTATTTATTTCTATAATTATAAGAAATTATTTTATAATCATTCAATAATTATAACAAATTATTTTGATATATGTGCAGTAAAGAAAAAAATATTTATCTGTGGAAATTAATATTAGTTATATTATTTTATATATCACAGTTGTGATTGGGATTTCCCCAATTGGAGTGATTCGGCCAACCCACTTCTTGACTAAATCATTATTTAATAAAAATTATCGTTCTGCTATTATACACTAATCATAATAGTCAATGTCATCCTGACCATTTTCTGGTAAACTTTTATCAAAATAGGAAGTTACTAAATACCCTTGTGTTTTTGTTAATTATTATTATTATCTCAGCACAACAATCCGTTGCCGGATCCGGACTTCGCCTACCCTAGTATGTTATTATTAATACAATTTTTTTTTTAAGCATATATTCTTTCAAGAACATTAGGTCATTTAACATCACTAGTTCAACTCGTGTAGTAATACTCAATATCAATTAAACTCTAGTTTATTAGAGATACAAAAAATACACAATCTACAAGTCTCCTTGTATAGTTGTAGTATGAATGTGGCCATTATTTATTTTAATAATTTTTCTCCCATGCTGTATTTATTGATGGCAAGGGCATAATAAGCCAGGACTCAACCGCACACTGCTACAAACCATGATTTTCATGGTGCTGTGAGAGGCAAACGTCTTCATAATTGGTTTAAGGGCAGTGACTAATTGGTCTGGATCCATGAACTATGAGCCTTTAGGGCAAGTAGGAAAAGGAAGATCTATATTTCTAACCTAGAAGCAGGCTGATATGGACCAATTTGACATTCTGCAAAACCACAATGTGATTCCCCGTCCAGGTCTATGGTATAGAGTTATCACTAATAACTCTTAGTTGGGATACATAACAGTGTTACATTCACAGTCAACAGTAAGGTAATTAGAAGCACAAATTCACAACAACATATCTTATTTCATTTTTTCGTTTCATTTCATATGACGTAGATGTTACTAAAAGTGAAAAAGAAGCAGCTGAAAGCAAGGGCTAAGACAGCTCAATAAAATTTTGCACAAAAAGAGAGTACAATTTTTAAAATTTTATTTCTTTTAAGTAAAAAGTTCTTGTAAGTAACTTCTTTCAAAACGTTGAAGTACTAATAATCAGCCTGACGAGGTCATTTAGTTATTCAGAAATTTGTATTTAATTTACTTGCATTAGGTTGTAAGCAGGATACCCCTCTAACACCTGGTGACATCTGTGAAATATACCACCTTCCTCCTTCTACACAAGAAAAATAAAATAGAGAGTAAAAGAAAAAAAATTAAAAATGTTGTGTCAATTTTAGGCTGTACCATTTTGATGAACTTTGTCACTACCCACTAGCGGATCCAGGATTTAATTTTTTTGGGGGGGGGGCTTCAGCCCGAAGGATTTTTTTTTGAACGATAATTAATTTGAAAAAGAAAAAGAAAGAAACTAACAACCCATTTGACACGGTGTCTTAGTTATTCTTGAATTCCTATTAAATGTAATCACACGAACAATAATAATTTAAGAGATAGTTTTTAATATTTTTTTCTATAAAACATGGTTATATTTTACCATTTTGGGGGGGCTTCAACCCGAAAGTCCCCCCCGTAAATCCGCCAGTGTCACTACCTATCGGTTAGTCAGAGGGAAAACAGCTTATGGTGTGCAAATTAGTGGGACAAGTTTTTTTAAAATGAAGTTCTGGCTTTATGACTGTCTACAGCAATTATAAAACATTTACAAAAAAAAAAAGTAAAAAATCTGATTCTTTTTGTGAAGAGGGCAAGAATAGTATCAAATTTTTATTCTGGATAATGTCATAGTAATAACCTTTCTTGACACAGAAAAGGTGTCCCTATTGCAACCTATATTAAAGATACTTCCTCAAATGGAGGAAGTCTCTTCTTAGATATTCATTGGGTTTTCTTATTTTCAATCTTTCTGATAATATAATTCTTATAAAACTGTTTATTAAATTTTTTTATGATACATAATTAGCTAAACCCAATTTAAGCAATGATAACTATAACGAAAACAACATAATTCATATAAAAATTGAAATCAGTTTAACAAAATGCATTCAGAAAAGAGCTTTTTATATGGAGGTATGCTATAAAACGAATGATTCTTTAATGTTAGTAAACGAACTATTTATTTCATATAATATTAAAAACAGGATAAAAAATGTAATAAAATATCATTATTTCAAGAAACATCTAATATCAGTAAGACCAGAAAATATAAAAATATAGGTAAGTGAAAGTAATATGAAGAGACCATTATTCTACATAAAAACATTGTAAATGTAAAAATATGATATGAACAATATTAAGACACAATATACTAAAGGGACTAGAGATATAACTTCCTGTAAAAATAACAAAAGCATCCTATCAATTACTTAGGTATAATACAAGCAAAAAATAAAATAAAATAAGAAGGAAATATCAAACACTATTTTAACTACTGATGTATTACTATTAATGGTACAGTTTGTCGCTACAAGGTAGAATAATTAACTCTTAAGGGTACCATTTTGTTATTAAAGTGATGTTACCGCTATTATATAATAAAAATAATCAGACTTACTGGTAGTGGTAACTTTCCACATCGAGGATCACTTGTGAAATAAGTGTAATAACTGAAATAAGCACTACTGAGAGCCATAGGGATGAGAAGGTATGCCATCCAGGCAGAGGATACCGGGAAACTAATTGAACCAAGCAGAAACTTCTTCATTACCTTTCCCGGGTTAAAACTAAGAAATCTTCAGTCAGTTTGAAAAAGTACAAAAAACAAATTGCTTTCTTAAAAGTTTTCTGATTTTAACTTATCTTCAAAATGACGTTTCAATTTATTGCAAGTATGCAAGAAATAAGCTAACACTTATGATTTGAATTCCAATTCGAACAAATCATAAACCACTAAAATAGAAAAAACTCCCTCTTCTATTTACTGAGCGAAATTGTTAAAACTTTTCATGAATCGTATTTAAAGTGTGAGAAGGGGACTTAGTAGAATAGTATTGTAGGGGGGGGGGGCTCGGAACATTTATTCAAATTCCAAGCAACTAAGAAGGTCCTGTGACACTAAAATTAATCTTTAAATTATCAGGATTTTTTTTCATACAGTAGATCCGAAACTATTACTAATCCAATCCATTTCACATTGATATATGTATGTAGGGTACCATCTTTCTTTCTAAAATTATCTTTTTATTACGGTGGAAATAGAATCAGCCTTTTCTCGAAAATATACTATCCCAATGATTGATTATTAAAATAAAATCTTATTCAGTTAAGAATTGCTATAAAAATTATATATATTTTTTCAATAACATACTATAAATAAAATTAAATATCTACATTATCCCAATGTACGAAAAGCATTTATTTTATACCATTTATTTATATTAAAATTTAATATGTTTATTTAAAGACAAAATATGAAACATTAGTAATTCACTAGAATTTATAAAATTATGACCAAACACTGACTGGCAATTCGTTTAACCGCCTTCGAAGTTACCAGAGGTTATATACTGGTTATCAACAACTAAAAAAGGAGGAAGTTAATGAACTTTCCACTTCTCAAATAGTTCTAAAGTTTTAATTGATTTCCTTTAACATTGTGCTTTTTATTTGACTGATACACGCCTTATTATATTCTTGATCCAATCTTGGTAAGTATATTTGTGTTACATATATTGTTTGTTACTCATTAGCATATATTTTATGACATATTCTTGGTTTTAGAAAAATGTCTAGTACTTCCCAGAAGCATCGCAACTTCGTTGCGGAACCTATGGGAGAGAAGCCTGTTACAGAACTTGCAGGTATTGGAGAAGTTCTGGGCAGAAGACTTGAAAATCAAGGATTTGATAAGGTGCTGGTGTTATCCTTTTGAAGAACATTAATTAGCTGTTAATTTTTTTAACCTCGATTTATAAAAGTAACTATGAGCAAAAATGAGATTGAATATATATAAATATAACATATCTGCCAAAAGTCACTAAGTAAACTTTTCATAGAGCTTATCTTTAATTACATATTTGTGAATTTCGATCATATTTATTGATGTCAAAAAATTGTGGTGTATCAAATGATACACTAACGCTATTTTAATAGTTGCACTAAGTGCATAATATTTTATTTTACTGAAGAAAAATTCTTCGAATTACTTGAGAATTCATTTTTTTTAAATGTTGTTAAGATTTTTTTTGTTGTAAATTGATCATTACAAGAATTTATATGAATTTGTCAATATATATTTAAATTTTTGCAGGTGAAAACAGGATCAAAAGTATTTATCCTATCATTGATTATAATAAGCACTTTTGAAAATAAATTGTCTTATTTGTACTTTTTTTGGTAAGATTTTAACATCTCGTTAAAATATACTGTAATTATTAACTCATGACCCATGAATTATCTCGAAAACTTCGATAATATGAAATAAGTTATTATCTTTGTTTTTTGGCATAATAGCTGCAGATAGATCACAACTGTCAACTTCAGCATACTGATGAGATAAATTTAAAGGATTCATTATCAATTTGATTATATATATATATATATGCTGATAGCAGTTGATAATGTATTTTTTTATATCAACCATGGGTCAATCCTGGATTCAAAAGACCCTACTCGAGCAGAGTATACCTAGCCTCTTCAAAGTGGAAACTCTTAATTAATTAAGAGGTACAACGTAGTGGTTGATCTTGACCCAGTCAGCTTCCTGCACAACCATTGTCCTTAAAGCAGTACTTTCTTTCTAAGTACTGAACCTAAGACCCTTCAAGGGTTGTAGTGGTATAAGTTTATATATATATATTTATATCGCTTCTTTAAAATGGATAATTAACTGTTAATCCGATTTATCACATGCAAGATTCTGTTACTGATAAAAATGTAATGTTGATAGAGATATTTACGAATTTTACTATTGACCAAAGACTAGAAGCCGTAAAATTGAAATTATATAAAAGAAAAAAATTTTTTTAAGAGCCTGATGAATGTCTACAATGTGTACTGAAAGTTTGACAAGTGTTAATAAAATAGTTAATACTATTTTTGTAAAGTTTAACAAACAGTCTCTTCATTGTGAATATAATTCTTACTTTTGACATCCGGGTGTTATTGATGTGGTTTGTAATTGATAATGATATGCTTCCTGAATGTAAAAATGTCGTAAATAAATCATTTTGGTCAAGAATTATTTATTTTATTTTTTTTTAGGCGTATGTGGTACTCGGCCAGTTCTTGGTTTTGAAGAAAAATAAGGAGCTATTTCAAGATTGGATGAAAGACACATGTCAAGCAAATTCAAAGCAATCTAGTGATTGTTATGATTGTTTGAATGACTGGTGTGAAGAATTTTTGTAATTTATGATGTATTTTATTTTTGTATACACATTATATCTATTTAATATGAAGAAACTATTTTTGCCTTGTCACTTATTATATAAGTTAACTATTATAAAATAGTAATAAATTATAATAATATGTATCTATGCTAATATGTGTTTTGACTGTAATGAATTATATTGTTTTCTTCTTTAAACGGGTGGAAAAATGTATTCATTCCATTTTACAAAAAAAGTTTTGTGCTTTTAAAGTTAAAGCACGTTTCACTTATAAAAACTTGTCAGAATGTCTATTTTATTTTTAAATATTTGTGTGTATATTTTTCATATATATATATATTTTTTAATTTTGGCAACCTCTTAATTGTTTGTACCATTCTAACAAAATATATTAATATTTTTATGTAATATTGTTAATTAATTTCCTATTTTACAAAAGGCACCTGTTATTAGTGTGAAAGAGATAGCTGGTTAGCCAATATATGGGTAGAGAAAAAACAATTTTTAATTTAAAAAAGTAAGATTTTTCTGTTCCCTATTATAGAAAAAGATCAACATCCATAATTTCATATTTTTTAAAAATAAGTTCTATATAAAAATTGTTAGTTTTTAATCGTGACATGATTGACTGATAATTAAATTTAATTCAATATTGAATAGAATATTTAATTATTGAATTTAAAACTCAAATTTAGTAAATTGGAATAGGGTCATCCAAGAACTATTAATGCCAAGACATTCAAATTTCATAACTTGGGTAGGATTTATTTTGGAAAACAAGCGTTATAGAAAGTTCGTGAATATTTGAAAAATAATGGGTCCGTCTGTTTTAAACAATATTAGTTGAGAATACGAGTTAATTATCTCTATTTTGATAATTAAAAAGTTGTAAACGTTTTCCAGTTCTAAATACCAAACCCGTAAGACACGTTAAGATTCGTGTTGTAACCTTAAAATGATCATTATATGAGCATAAAATTATTGGATCAAAAGTTTTTGAATTGAATGAGTCTTTTTCAAATTTTCACTTAAAAATTTAGTCAAGGCAGAGAAGAGAGATAAAGGTTGTTAAATTGAAGTGCCAGTGGTATATTGATTGTGGAGGTGGCAGAGACTGGACTACTTGACTCAAGCAGTAGTTGAGGTTCGTCCTGAACTGACTGTCATGGCGGCCATGTCATGAAGATACCAGTTCCGTGCGGTGGAACCACAATGGAAGAAAGTTCTCCTTCGCAGAATTTGAACGGACAAATTGGACCTTGTGGTGGTGGAATTAACACAGGCATCAAACAGTCTGATGAGTCCAACCAGAGGATTCAATACTCGATACCGGGCATTTTGCACTTCATTCAACATGAATGGGCTAGGTTTGAGATGGAGAGAACTCAATGGGAGTTGGATAGGGCAGAATTACAGGTATTTTTTCCCGTAATTATCACAGCATTCTAGTAGGTAAATTTACGTCAGTTGTTAATGTATGTTTTCCTATATAGCTGTCAGGTTTATATTTATTTTGTTTCATTAGATACTGGAGGTTATTAATTTGACGTATTTATTGCTTGAATTACGAATTATAACAATGAAATGTATATAAGGGAAGTAATCCTTATCAGATAATTCTAAGTGATAAATGTTTCTCAGTTTTATTGAACTGATCACTGAATAATACTGATTAGTATTACATTTTGTAATTTATGCTTATTTTTTAAAGAGATTTATATTTCTACATATTTCATTAGTATCACATATATAATACCATTTCTAAAAATAAAGATTTGAATTGGTTATCTGATAACAATTTTGACATATAATGGTGAAGTTTTCCTTCTGAAGTGCACCTTTGTTAATTTGATTAAAGACTTTAAATTTGAAATGAAGTGATTTTAGATACATAATGAAATAAGGGTTTTAGTTTAATTTCAACAGTTTTTTGTAATGATATAATCATTATGTCAGCCTTTGTTATGGCTTTGACTTACAGTTAGAAGTAAAAGCTTTTGTAGATTTTGCTATGCCACATACCAATCAAATAAAGCTGAATTTGATTTGATGAATTGGAAAAAATAAACTTATTTGATGTTTTTATTGACTAAATATTACCAGGACCAATAAAAATGTTAACATTCTGCGAACCTTTTTAAATGAATATAGCTTAACTAAACACAATTCATAATGTAATAATTAATGGAACAAGAAGAAATAAGTTTCTTTCATACTGATTTTAAGTTTGGAATTAAATTTTTTAAAACAAAAATTAAAAGTCAATATTATTAAAATTGTTTTTAGTGATACACCTCATGAACTGATAGATTGCGACATTATGCAAACAAGAAATTTATTTTTAAAAATAAAGAAAAACGCTATGGCATTTTAAAAAATCTATTAGTTGAATAAACAGGAATTTTCTAACCATTATAAATTGAATGTTGAGCAGTTTTTCAATTGGCTGTTAACAATGAAATTGCCCAATTTTTCAAAAATTAAGATAATCCATTAAATTAATGATTCAAATTTTTAAAACTGAGTGTTCATAAGGCAACTCATAGGGAGCCTAATTATGTATCAGTTTATTTTCACAATTCGCTTATAAAACATATTAATATTAACATATTAATATTAACATTAAAATATAAACATAATAAACTATGAATAATTTTACAGCAATAATACTGCAGTCTGGAGGAGACTGATAAAATCAAAAATTAAAAAAAAAATCCTAATTTTGCTTAATGAGATTTATGACAATAATTCTGCAAAAGTAGATAATTGTTTTAAGATGTATTAACTTTTTCCGAAAGTAGTTATATATATGTATGTTTACATTTGCATATATGTATACTTATAAACATACCAATCTTCGATAAGTTAATTTTTTATTTGTCTCAGTCTTCTTTCAAACTATTGATAGATGAAAGTTGTTGGAAGGTTATACCTGGGTTTACCAATCATCATGTATGCTGATGTAGTGTTTATAATGATTGGATTATAATCCATATTACATAAAGTTCCTAATTTAATGGATTGACTATCAGTATCAAAAAGCAAAACAGAAAAAAGTACTGTACCAATGTGAAACTTTTTACTTGGTGTTTGTTGATGCATCAATGTATTCACTCCTCCACAGGATCATAGAATATTTTTTACCAATTTAACAAGCTGTCAATATTTTAATATAACAAATATTACTTGTATAAAACAATATATGTGTTAGTTATTGAACAACAAAATTTAAGACCATCGCTAAAGTATCGGGAAGGTGAATATATGGGAACTCTGAACGAAAACTAGGTTTAGGATGTGACTACATCTTTCCAAAAAATATACATTATTAACTGCAAAGGTAAATTTATGTATGTCCATCTGAAATTTATTTATATAACCTATTTAAATACATGGTTTATACATCATTGAGCAAATACTGTTAAATGATAGTGATTGTTGAGTATTTATTAAAATGCATTTTTTATTTTAGCCTGTTAATCAAATTTTGCCTGTTTTATATTGATTACACTCAGTGTATTATTATTCATCGTAATGAACTAATTGTAGGCCAATTATTGCTAAATAATTTAAGAAAATGATTTCTTATTAATTTTTGGTATCATATGTGATGTTTAAGGCTCGGATAGCTTTTTTGCAAGGAGAAAGAAAGGGACAAGAAAATTTAAAAAATGATTTGGTTAGAAGGATTAAGATGCTGGAATATGCTTTAAAACAAGAAAGGTAAGACAAATGTTACTGTTTTATATTTTAAAGATATTGATAATTAAAGAAAAAATACGTATTAATTTATATAAATATTTATTTATTTATTATTATTTAGTTTATTTATTATCAGCCAATTTTTAAAATTGGCTGATAGTAAATAAACTTGAAAATAAATAGTATGCACCGAAGAAGGAGTTGAGAAATATTGTAAATATGTACTTTTTGGATTTGAGGTTTTGTGCTGTGACTTTTAATAATTTTTTTGAGAGGACAATTTTTAAAAAAAATGACTGAAAAAATTATATATTTTCAAAGTGGCATAAATGTATTGAATGTATTTTTTCTTATCTATTGAATAAATCAATTGTATTATATAACAACTTAATACCTTCTATTAGAACTGTAGAAAAAAGGATTTATGACATCAAAGATTAGTGAAAGTGTGTTTTTACTTTTTAAATACTGAATTTTACTAAAATATAAGTATATTTTTGTTTTAAATAATAAATAAGAAGAAGTTTAATTTAAATTTTTTTTTAATTTATGGTTTTTATATTGCTATGATTTTCAGATATTTTCTAATACCCTGTGCAATAATATATTATTTTCAATACTGATTATTTTCTGTATGTTTTCATCATTCTTCCCTTCCTAAAATAGAATGGGATTTCCTTGTAATGATAACGTTTTTCCTTAAAAATTTAAAATAAAAGTTATTCTACGAATTTTCCTTAAAGTTTCATAGTTATAGCTGGTATTTTCCTAATTTTATTTTATTGCTTCATAATTGAATTTTGATTTTTTTTATTTTTTTTTTTTTATCAAAGTTAAGGGGAGTGGGGCAGCTCAGTGGTAAGTTAGTGAGCTTCCAGCGCTAAAGGTCCCAGGTTCGAACCCCGGCTCATGGCAGAAAAATTATTTAGTCTGGTTCATTGGCTGTGGGGCAACCCTGGGTAGGTAGACCCTTCTGGGTGGCACACCCAGCCTCTATAATGGGGTGGGTACCCATAATTATAAGGGGAAAAACCTGGCGATTGAGCAGAATCTCGGTCAAATCATATCCTTGCACAACCGTAGACAAAGAAACGGTGCTTTCCTTAAATATTACTGAACCCAAGATCCTTCATGGGTTGTAGTGATACAGGTTTTTTTTTTTTATTAATGTTAATACCAAAATAAACATCAGTTTTTTTTCCCCTGATATTACTTATAAAATGTCTTTGTTTTGTATGTAGATAAATTTCGAGGATGTTTTTTATTTCCTATTATAGATGTTTATTGGTGAATTGTGTAGGTTGAAGAAGCTTTTTACCGTTATTTGAAATCATCATTTTAGTCTTGTTGAAAATTACAAGAATCTTTGAAATTATTACGGATTTCTGTTTAAATATTTAATTCCATATAAGATTTTTTGTATTAGCTTTTTTGTCCATTTATGAGTCTACTCAGCCATATTAACACCATAATATGTTATGTTGATTAATTTTTGTTTTGAGTATTTCTGTGAAGTTGATCCTCTAATAGATTAACTTCACATTATTAAAATTTCTATTTTTAATGATGTTAAGTATTTTAAACTTTCTGCCATTAGAAATATTTCATTACTAGTTGGTCCGTGCCAATAGTTCACAGTAAACTTTCTTTATTGAAGGAATAGCAAAACAATATGGAAATAAGTAGATCCTATGTATTATGTAAGGAAGGAGTTGATTCTTATTCCTTGTTGTTTATTGCACTAGCGAATCCAGAATTTAATTTTGGGGGGTCTTCAGTCCGAAAGCTTTTTTTTTCATAAAAATGACGATAATTACTTTGGAAAAAAAGAAAGAAACTAAATATCTGTAAGAAATGGTGTTTAAGTGATTCCTTAAGTCCTTTAAAATGTAATTACACGAACAATAATACTTTAAGAGATAATTTTTTAATATATTTTTCCATAAAACATGGTTATATTTTACCATTTTGGGGGGGGCTTCAGCCCGAAAGGCCCTCCCCCTCCCCTCCCGTAGATCCGCCTGTGGTTTATTGGTGTTGTTAATATTGTTATACAATATTCTGTTTAACATAATAAACTAAAACATTTGTATAAATTGATTTGTTAGAGCCTGTTTCTAAACGCTGGTTGAAAAGGGAACATTCAAAATAAATCCTCAATTATGAGATTTTCTAAATTATTAAAAAATATAAATTGTACTAAATTATTAAAATGTAAATTGTATAAAAGCCTTTTTTTTTGTTTTGTAGGCAATTTAGTAATCTTTCTAATTATCATGCGTACAATCAAGGAAAAAATGTAAAATTTTTGAGTTAACTTTCTTTTCATTCATAACTTTTTTTCTAGAAATTTCGGGAGATAGGAATATTTTTTGCATGTGAAGGAGAAGAATATTTTCAAAATGATTAGTCAATCATTGAATTTGATGAAGTTATGATGTACTGACAAAATAACACCTTGTAGAAGTAATATATAAGATTTACACTGCTTAAAACGATTGTTAGGTTGTATTGCATGCATGTTTACAATTTCATTGCATTTTACACTTTTGTAAATTTTTTTATTTAATGAATTATTTTGGTTTGTAGTTTCTTTTTTTTTTTTTCCTCTAATATTAAGGATTGAAACAGAATTTTTTTCTTACTCGGTTGATATCTGAGTTTAGTACTTGACTCAATTTATAGTTAATCATAGTTGCAGTTGATTAAACCAAAATGAATGTTTAGAGAACTTTAGTATTATTTGATGGGAGTTTGAGATTAGAATAAGAAGTTAAATAAGAATAAAAATTTCTTGAAAATCAAGCAATATCATTTAAATAATTAAATTCCCCACATCTTCGTAAAATAGGAATCAGATGAGATGTGGTTGATCAACCAATCAATTAAAACTTTAATAATAATATTACTTACTTACTGTGAAATAAGAAGTAATAAGTTTTTTGTTATATTTGAGTATTTATAATTTTATGTGTTTCATACAAATGCTATGGTAAATAATTTATTAAAAGTACTTTTGAAAACAATTTTTTTTTATAGAGCCAAATACCACAAATTGAAGTATGGTACCGATCTAAATCAGGGTGATATGAAGCACCCAGGATTCGAAGAAGCGGTACCAGAAACCAATACAGAATCTGAGGCCCCGTTCTCTTCAGTTAGTAACTTCACATGGAAACAAGGTCGCCAGATGCTTCGGCAGTAAGTGTTGGCATTTCGTTAATTCATGCTGCTAATTTAAAAAGAGCAGAATAAAATCTATACTTTGATAATAGTTTTTAAGCAATTGAAAATATAATTTCCCCAAATCATTATTTTGATATAAATTATTATTAAATATAGATGAAGAATTTCATTATTGAAGTAAAACTTCTTTAGGCACGTTTTGCACTTTTTTGTAGAGAGTGAATTAGATTGGCCCGTCAGATTTCGTTCGCCATTAACGCTCGGATAATGTCGGCTTGAGTTGACTAATTAAAATGTTTTTACATATCTCAGAACCTATAAACCGGACCTGCATACTGTAAGTGAGGAAATTGTTCAGCATTTCATCCTCTCTCTAATAGACTATAATTCAAAATTGTATCTTAAAGCGACACCATGTTAGGGAATCAAAAAGGAAAAAAATAGTGTTGAAAACCAAATGATAAGGTTAGTTGAACATATGGATTAAAATATTTCAGATACTAAAAATCGGATCTCTATACTGTAAGCGAGGGAAATGTTCAGCATTTCATCTGCTTTGTATTAAGCTATTATTTATAATTTATATTTCATATTATTAATCCAGCCTTGTTGATGTTTTTGTTTATATCGTGTGGTCTAAAGCACATACCTTTATTTTTTTTTATTGCTGCTTACTTTATATGTTATCATACTGTTTCTGAATGATAGTAAGTGGTTAGTTTTTACAGTTTATTTTGTTTTAAAAAAAAAATAGCATTAAATGAAGAGGATTTAAGGTTTATTTGCCCATCTCCTTATAAAATATTAGTCATATTTTTCCTGAAAATCATAGATTTTTGAACTTAATTAAAGGTTATCAGAGTAGGATAGGGATTTATTTCATGGCTTTTTAACCTCTAGAGAATTATGTGAGTTTTGAGAATCTTGCATATATATTATTTATTTAAAATCATAGATCTTTGACCAGAAGGAATCCTTTTTTTTTTCTGTACAACTTAGTTATTTTTGGGACATTGTCATTATTTCATTTTTAGTTAGTTGTAACAAGGTATCGGCTCCTATGACAAAAATGTCAGGTCTTGGTATTCACAAAGCTATTTAAACATAGTTTTCATTGGATGTAGCGACCATCAATTAATTGAATTAATTTCTTGACAAAATGATCAGATAAATAGCAATGCTCGTATCTCAATATTCCTAAAAAAAAATATTTGTAAACATTCCTTTTCTAGGAATTCACTCATCGTTAACATCACATTTCCGTATAATTTCTAGTCCCTTCAAAGTTACATTTTAACCTCTGAATACATCTTACAAGACCAAGGATAAAAAGGATATTCAAAACTGTTAAATATTTTTAGAAAGCAGCTGATCATGAATTTTTTTTCAATTAGTAAGAAACTAAAATCTCATTGGGCCACATGGAAGCCACTCCAATTGCAAACTACTTATGAGATATTCAGGACTCATCATATGTGCTTTTATTGATGTAAAAACGGAACCAAACTTTTCAAATCTGGCTCAATATCTCTTCATCGATTATCATCTGTCAACTACCATTTCTGAAGTAAACCTTAAGATACCAAGCCATAATCAATACCAGCTTAATAAACAACTGCGATATCGCTAAAAATATTCTGAATTAAAGGACCACTACTTCAATTTTTTTTTTAGACTAGACTTCTTAACTACCAAAAGTAGAGAAGCTTTGTAATCGTGCAGGAGATAAAAATAATTTTTATACTCAGAATAGAGAGGTTGTTCCGCTTGCATTTTACGTTTCAGACATTGTTAGCTCCCTCTTAGTTTATGTCAAACTTCGAATGAAGCCTAACTATTTAATTGTGATTTAATAAAAGAAAAAAAAAGAATGAAAGTGGACTGTATCTTCAAAGATTTATTTTGGAACATTTACGAAATCTAATATTGAAAACATAGAAACAAAATGAATCAATTTTACAATTTTAGATAGCTAAAAAAATAACAAACTTCTAGCATAAAATAAAGACCAGCTGAACAAACAATTGTGACAATATTAATGAAATGTTTCATGCTTTATCATAAAAGAAAAAACTATTTCTATGGCCCAAATTACAATAAAAATAAATAATTTCTCTAGAGTCCCAATATGAAATTTATGTATATATATATATATAACAAATAATTAGATTGTACAACATTCGTCTGGACGAAGCAGGCCGTTCGTAAGCCTCTGTCTCTATGCAGAAACCAATTGTAACTCTTCAATGAGCGTGCTCAAAACGAACTGCAAATGGGCAGCAGCGAGTAAGGCAAGAGAAGTACGTCTCTTCACAGTAGAACTGCAGTGGGCAGTGTTGTTGGCAGTACTCAGTGACGGACAGAGTCAGACTGTCTATTGTCAATTCTACCGCCTTAAGACTCGAACCTAGCACTTGTTTATAGCTAGTGCTACTACAATCCATAACAAAGTAGTCCAAATATAAACTATTGATTTATTTAATATAAACAATATAAGCTATGGGCCTACAATACTTAATATACACATATCTTATACATAAATATACATATTATTAATTGATTTCACTTTGCTAAAATAAAACAAATCAAAAATTAATCAAACTAGTTAAGTGTAAAATAAATTGAATTAACACTGTGGCATTTTAACTGTAAAAATAAATAAATGAACGCTGTGGCATTAACAGACATCAAGGTGTTCAAGATAATCATGATTTTTTTTTTTTTGCCTTTCCCTTTTCTCCATACTTCCTCCACCAGGTTGTTTTAATTAGGTTTCAGAACATCATAGTTCTTTCAAAGTGTCTGTTAAAGAATAAATGGGCACATTCCACTGCAGTCTAGACTTAACTGTGCAGGAATAATTGACAATAAAAATGGTGGTGAAGCCTATAATTATATATAAATATTTTTTTCTTGTTTAATGGGTTGATCCCTGAACAGTATGCGAATTAAATTGGTGTTATAGAAGTATCATTTGGGGTCACAACTTTTGTTTTTTACACAACCACTATTTTTATAAATTAATTTCGGAAACAAATTATTAAATGTTTTTAAAATCGAAATATTAGATAAAACTTCAGCAGTTTGATTGCTTTTAATATTCTGTTCAATTTCCTAAAATAAGTATTAACAAAATGAGTACATCACTTTTCATCTATTTTTCTAAACAATAATGCGATCTCAGTGACGGTGCTTTGCTGCTGACGATTTTATTTTCTCTTTGTGGAAACAGTATTTACTATTAACAACATATGTTTTTTCTTGTAGGTATCTCCAGGAAATTGGATACACAGATACGATAATAGATGTCCGCTCCAACAGAGTTCGAACTTTATTGGGGCTCAACAATAATGAAGAAGGCCCTGGCAGTGGTGGTGTCAATGGCAACGAAACGGGCAACAAAAGAGCATCGGACTCTCAAGGACGGAGGACACCAGCCAAAAAGGTGCGTTGTTTTGCATCTAGTATTTTTTTACTTAAATCTTTTTATATCACACTTAAGTCTTTGGTCTTTTAATTTGATTTTTTTACTTTGATTCAGGCTCAACCATCGAACCTAGTTGAAGCAATGATGCTCGATACTGAAGCAGCAGTCATGGCTAACTTCGAGTTCCTTTCCGGTGCAGATGTGGATATGGAGGATGAAGACGGCCTTGAAGATGACATTGATGAATCCGGAGAAGTTAGTGATGAAACTATTCGCCCTTCTAGTGCTGCGAAAAGAAAAGCTAATAAGGTAATCAAGTCCGCTGAAATTTAATTTAAGAAACCTATTTATTTTTCTGTAGGATTAATAAGATTGACTGTTACCTGAGAAGTTATTAAGAAAATGGAACTTTAATTACGCATAACTCAGTCAACATAAAATTAATTACAATCATGATTTTTTGAAAGGTTAGGATAAGTTCACCAGTGATGGACATAGCTAAGAAAAAAGTCTTTTTTTTACTTATGTCACCCTAATTAGAATAGAATAGAATTGAATTTATTTGTTAAAGATTATTTTACAATCTTGACAAATGATACATATATGAATAACTTATTTCACCTACATGAGTCTAGTTTATCATAACTGTACATTGACTTATTATAAACAATAACTAAACAATAATACTTCATTACATTCCAATTAATTTCTATCTACATTATCAATAAAACCAAAAAAGAAAAAAAGAAAAACAAACAATTAATTGAACTGACCAACAATTATCCTTAGTCATAGCACTTGGTTGGTGTGTGGAACATCAGAGCTTAAGGAATCCAGTGAATTGCACGCTGACATTATGAACCAGTAAATTTTATTAAGTTTCTCTATGCTATCGATTCGAAGTATGTCTTGTATCTTGTTTACATCACTTGGCGCAGAGAGAAATGCTCGTAAATGTTTGTGTCTGTCGTCTGTTAGCTTTTCACAGTACAGAAGGATATGGAACAGGCTGTTAGTAATGAATTGGTTACAGAAAGTGCAGGTTTCCTGGGCTTTGAAGTAGAAACTTTTGTTTTTCGTATAGAGCTTAATTAGTTCGGGATTTGAAACCCTTAACTGACTTATTGATCTTAGCTTTTTCATGTTAGCTCTATACATCAAATAGGACTCTGGGTGGAAATATTGAAGCTGGAAATAGTTCTATATATGGGATTGTTGTTGGAATTTATGGATAAATGGATGTCCTTAGATAGGTTATGGTTTTTTAGCTTTTCCAATATTTCATCGCTGTATTTTAATAATCCAGTTGGGTATACTTTATCGAACTCTTCTTTACAGCCATAATGAGCAGCTATTGATCTGACTTGTGTGATCCAATTAAAGTTTATATCAGGATTCCTTGTATCCAGCAAAATTAATTTGTTGAAGCAAAGCCTTGGTAACCTCTCTTCAGGCATAAGCGACAATTTAGACCAGTAATTTCTAATCCTTCTCATAACCCTGACACTCAAGGCGTTTCGGCCAGTTTCTAGAAGTACAATGTAGTTGGCAGTATTCCTTGTCCACCTAAATAGTTGCTTCAGAAACTTCAGCTCTACCACTTCAATAGCATCCAGATATCTTAAGCTCCATATTTCAGAAGAATACAGAAGATGTCACCCTAATTATTATAGTTATAAACTTTCCCATTGGATATTTAGAATCTCTAGGGTCTCCTTTTTCTATTTAACACTTTAAAATGGAAAAAAAAATATTCAGTTATGCAGATATAGCCTTCATTTAAACAAAACAACTTTTTGTACTAGTAATGGACATTCTGAAATTCAATGGTACCAGTAATAGACCATTTAATTTAACAATAAAGATTAGATAACATAAATGTTCAACTTACTCTTAGCAAAACTGTTAGTAGGAAGGTATGAAACACACTGATCTCAACAGCACTAAAGAAACAACAATGATAGGCATTTTAAATTATTTTTTTGGGCAACTTTGTTCATAAAGTTGTCAATAGAGGGCATTGTTCTTCAATCTAAAAAAAACTGGAACCTTTAAATCAACAAGGAAGCTTATTATTTACATTAAGATCCAACCTGTCCTATACCTGTCCCATCACTAGGCCCCCTGTCCATAATTGGTGCGTTCACCCTTTTAAACACCTACTCCCACCCCAAAAAATTATAAATAAATAAAATCATTGAAATCCGACTTATTAGCAAAGATACAGCCTATACTAATTTATAAACATGTTTTTTTATTATTACTAATTATATTTTAAGTTATCTTTATTTTCCTTGGTCAATTACAATAACCAAGGAAATGAAAATAAATTCCTCCATCTTATAATACATTACACTAACTTATTTTCCTTATCATATAGTCATTTGTTCACTAATTACTATAGTATATGTATTATCATCACGGGCCAACTAGTAATCTTGTAATCTAGCATTACAATTAAATAATGATAATAAATGATGTACTAATTTAGTTAAATATTTTTTAGGCGCTAATGCTTCATGAAGCAGATGATGTGGATGCAGAAGCAGAAGAAGTTTTAAACGAATTGAACTTGCTTACCCAGGCTGAGGTTCCAGGAGGGATGACTCAAGGAGATCCACAGGATTGGAGTAAGTTTTTTATTTTACTTGTTTACTAAGTGAAATTTAACTTATTAATGCGTGCATTATTCTTTTTTGGATTTTTTCATAATTATTTTACCCATTTTAACTTAAAGTAATAACAAAATTGAAATTTGGCTTTGAGTTTTTTGGTTTTGCAAATTTTATCCTTTTATCATATGGTAACACTTATCACTAGCCGCATGCGCTGCCATGAATTGATTTTAAATCTATTTCCTAGTTTACTGGTATAACAACTCACGGAAGTGAATATTTTTGTTTTTTATTTCTTTCTGGTAGGGAATGGATACTACTACTATAGAATGGATCTACTACCCTTTCTTTCAGTAACATATTTCATGAAATATATGTTTGACATTACTTACTTACTTCACTGGCACTACAGTCCAAGGTGGACTTTACCCTCCCGTACAATTCCATTCCATGCTTCCCGATCCAATGTTATCTGTTTCCATTCAGCGATTCCAATCCTTGCCAAATCCTCCTCCAGGTCATCCAGCCATCGTCTCCTAGGGCGTCTTTTTTTTTTTTTTGCCGGTCACATTCTCTTGCATTATTTTCTTTGTCATTCTATCATCCTCCATTCTCTGCACTTAATCAAGCCAGCTAATTCTTTGTAATTTTATGAATCATAATACATTTTCATGCTTTATCAAGTCTTCCAGCTCCTGGTTATTTCTAATGGCACTCACCCTGAATGCAATATCTTTTGTTAGATACCTCATTCATCAAAATTAGGGATGAGCGATAGTCAATAGTACTATTGATATATTGATAGTTCGTATCCTCCCCTTAGACACAAATTATATTAAAATTTTATATACTTAAAGGAATCATTTTAATAACATGCCTTCATTCTTCTACCCATTTATTGATGTACGATATATAGTGATAATGGAAAACGGTTATTGTATACTTAACGGAAACTCCATATTAAGAAAATAAATAAATAGAAGTGTGAAGGCGTGGTTAAAACTATTATTATCAATATATAAAACTGAAACTAAATTGAACAAGAAGAAGGCTTCATAGTAAAAATAATTCAATCTAAAATTACTTTCTTAGAAATACATTTACAACTCCAGTTGTGCTGATGGAAAAAATGTTCCATTTACCTCACCTTTTTTTAATTTTTATTTCATAAAAAAACATATAATTTTAAAATCTGCAAGGATGCCATTACAGTTGTATTATATTTTAAATTAGGTGTTATTATCAAATTAAATTTAGAATCTTGGAAATTAAAAGGCATGCACATTTCTCCATTAGTTAAAACAGTACTACCTATATGTCTTTAATGTTTCTTGTTTGAATTCAACGATCACGGAAATAAATGAATTTTATTTTTCTGTATAAATGTATTTTCCCTTCAATCATTTTTTAAATTATTTATTTCATAATTTTATTAGTGCCCTAACATTACTCTTTGAGAATATATCTAATATAAATTTTAATAACTAGTAGGCCCATGCGAATGATTTTTTGTCCGATTTAAATGATTTTTTTTTCCTTTTGTAGACAATTTAGTAATGTTTTATATAATCATGGGAATAACCAAGGGAAAAGTGTGGTGGCTCAATCTTGAGATTTGGTGAAGAATTAACGGCTTGCCGATGAAAAACACCATCGATAAATAATATAAACTCCTCCTGTCTCGATCATAGAGACCTCAAGTCGACGAAATGAGACATGTATCCAATGACCGTACTACAATTAACGTCAGGTTGTGTGGATGCGAACCCTATGCCTTGCGTTATCTCGAAAATAGTACGTTTTTGGGTTTAAAAACGCAGGATCCGATATTTCCGGAGGAACTATCCGGATCTTGCTGTACGCATCCAAATCTTCAAGGTCCAATTTGTCCCATCGATCTACAGACCTACCACTGTTCCAGTATTTATGCCTAGCAAAATGTTTGTATTGACTTTATTTATTTTAGAAAGAAAAACAAAAGCGGAGAATACGATTCGCTAACCTGCCGTGAAATTATGAATCCAACGGTACCCCATTCATGGTATTTGAGCATGACAGGAGCTTATATTTGGTACTAAACCGATTTCGAGCCTTACTGTAATAATATATGTGGGGATTATAAAGCTTATGCAGCATTTTGAAGTAAATAACTAAAGAATACAGTGAAAATAAATCCTCTTTAAATCTGTGTCGGGAAGTTACTAAACTATCGATAGTTTTTATCAATACTATTCAACTATCGATAGTGGAGAACTATCTACTATCATCCATTCCTAATCAAAATCCACTGCTCCTGAGAGCCAGAAAAGAAATCTATATTATACTATATGATATTATATATTGTAGATTACTTTTTAAGCTGATTTTATTCTGAGTTTAACATGGTAGTATTGTTTGATTTGGTGTTACACTAAGGTTAACTTATTAGTATTTGTCAGTTATTTCAACAGGGAGCGGTGCCTACTCAGCAGACAGCAGTAAGAGAGGAGGGGGCGATGATCAGGTCGATTCAACGCTGGGTCTCGGCGAGTTAGCTCAGCTCACTGTCAACAATGAAGCTGAGCCAGCATACGATGTAAGTCTTTCAAATTTTATCTTATATATATATATATATATATATATATATATATATATATATATATATATATATATATATATATATATATATATATATATATATTTTATAGAATTTATCACTGAGTTTTATATTATTAGGGCTTATTAGTTGATGTGTAAGAGTTATCAATTAAATTAAATGAAACACATAACTATCTTGGTAGCCTACATAAGTTATTATATTCATCTTCTTTTTCACAATGGAAAAAAATAAATTTTTATTGGGACGAGGTATGAAACAAGGGTATAGCATGAACACGTTATTGTTTATTATCTTCATGGATGAAATCCATAAAATATGCTTAAATAGAACTGCTCAAAATTCAGTCGGTATATGGAACATGAGGAAGTGTGCAGACTATATCCTGATGGTGACCGACTCTAAAAAATAAAACTGCAACAAACCTTTATAGAATGGCAGGAAGAACTCTCTCATAAAGGAGTGAGTGTCAACAACCGCATAAGCAAGGTTATGACTGTAGCCAGAGATGTAAGAATGACATGCTTTGGAGAGTGAAATGAATGAATGAAAATGAAAAAATAATTTTATTCTGGGACTACTGTCCCCTAAGAATAATAACAGAGTTACAAATTTATGTATCTTAGTCTGACATAGTAAAAATACCAACTAATTTATTGTTAATTGTTATTTCAATTGTGCAATGGATTGAAATTAAACATTGTATAAATGCAAGTAATTTTACATGTTAGGGGAAGTTTGAATGTGGAGTAGGTGTTGGAACAAGAGTTGTTTGAAGGAATTTGTGGATGAGGATTGACGCATGGAGGTAGGAAGTGAGTTCCATAAGGAATGACCACGAATGACGAAGGATTTGCTGAAGGAGGAAGTTTTATGGGAGGGAATATATAAGTCTATAGGTTGAGACCTAGTATTGAGAGAGTGGATAGAGGAGCGCAGAGTAAGGAGATCCAGGATGTAGGGAGGGTTTTTGGTTCTGAAGACTTGGAAAAGGAAAACGCCAAGAAGGAATTGTCATCGGGAAGTAGGAAAAGGCCACTTCAACTCGGTGTACCATGGTGAAACATGTGAACGCCTGGAGATCCCGAAAATGTATCTTATGAAACAATTCATAAGTCTTTTTAGTCTCATTTCCAGCCTGGCAGATAACCCTCCATACACCTTGAGAGTGTGGATACCTACCTTGAAACAACTAAAAAAAAAAAAATAACTGAGAAAATAGACCAAGAAACGTCCAACAAAATAAAGAAAGCAAACAATATGTTAACCACATTTGTAACTCAATCGTGGGAAAGAGAGAAGTAGAAAATAGTGTCATACTACAGATCCACTGAGCAGTTAATCTCCATATATTGTCACATGGCAGGGAAAGCTTGGTCATCCAAGACAAGAAGCACTTAAACATAATTATGGCTGCGGAAATGAAATTTTTATGAAGAATATTCAGATAAACTAAGAGATATAGAATAAGAGAACTTTTGACATCCTCGCTGAAATCAAATTTAAAATGTTGATAACTTCAATGGTATGGAAACGTCTGTGGAAGATAACAAGAGTACTAAAGAAGTGTATGGCAGAAGACCATAAGGCAGGCTTAGAGAAACAACCAACTCGGAGGAATTGGCGAAAGATCAAGATATGGAAGCTCCTCCACGCTGAAAGGCACATAAGGAGAAAGAAAAAATAAAGTTTCCTTGTAACCTTTATGATTCTTTGATTTATTAAATGATATATATTTTTTTTATTAGTTTGCCACAAAAACTATAACTTAAACGTTTAAATATTATCAAGTGATGTGTGTGCTGCTACATCAAGCCGATGTTATAACCCGTTCTATGGGTCTATTTTTCATTAAATTTAGTGATTTTGGTTGTTAATTTTTTTTAATTAAATACTTTTATAACCATTATTAAAGATTATTTATGTTAGTGCAAGATTGTATCATTTTTCCTGATTATATAAAATTATGATCGTATGAAAATCATATACTCTCATTGAAAACTTAGTATAATGGATTTATTCATTATGGGTGACAGTTGAAGGGTCATGTAAAAAGTAATAAATAACATTTTTTTAGTTTTGAAAAAACTGAATTCATATCACCTTTACTCACTATAAAATAGATGTACGTATATTGTCAATGGGTTCCTCTATCAACTCGTTTATAAACCAGATTGAATTTGTGTGAAAGGAATGGAGCAATATTAAAAAAAAATACCATTCTATTCCATTGTCCTCAGTAATAATTCAATTTTCCTATAATGTCGTTTATCATCTTTTATCTACTTGACTATTCAATTAATAATTGATATTTTTTACATGGTACATACATTGTTTATTCTGTACTCAACAACTGTCCACAATTTAATCAACTAATTTTTTTTTTATAGCTTCCCACAACAAAAGAATCGCTGAGGAAGACATGGAGCGCCAAGTATACACTCCGTTCTCATTTTGACGGGGTGCGAGCATTGGCATTCCATCCAGCCGATCCTGTTCTTATTACTGCGTCCGAAGACCATACACTCAAACTGTGGAATCTCCATAAAACTGTTCCTGCTAAAAAGTAACACATTATTTGCTACTAGCGATTAAAGTGAAGTAGTTGTTCAACTTTATTATGTGTATGTTATTTAACTTCTTTAAGTTTATCCTCCTCTTAATGTTTGGAGATCGACCTGGTTTACTAGCGATCTCTTATTCTGTTCATACTAACTACATGATCCAGTTTTTGCTCATTCCTTTAAATTAGATTCTTTCCCTTCTCTTACATCCAATGCTTTATTATATTTCACAACTTCCTAATTTATTGTTATTTGAATTTAAAGTAAAATGGAAGATATAACAAATAAAGTGAATGACAGCTATCTAGTTAGATAGACTAAATGAAATATTAGAATTTTTTTCTTTGGTTTTAATTTTGATGATTTTCACTATGCACCAGTGTGAAATTTGTAATGAGTTATTATTCAAAATTGTATCTTAATGCAATGCCGTTAGAGAGGTGAAAAATTAAAAAATTAGTATCATTAACCAAGTTATGACAAGTTTTATTGAAGATATGGATTAAAATATTTCTGAAACTTAAAATCAGACCTGCATACTGTGAGCCAAAGAATTGTTCAGCATTTCATTCTCTCCGTGATTGGCTATTATTCAAAATTGTATCTTAACCCAACACCGTGCTAGGAAAGCGAAAAGGGAAAAAATAGTGTCGAAAACCAAATTATAACGAGTTTTATGGAAGATATGGATTAAAATATCTCAGAAACTAAAAATCGGACCTGTATACTGTGAGCGAGGAGATTGTTCATCATTTCATCCTCTTTATAGTCAGCTATTAATTATAGTTTATATTTCACATTATTAATCTCGCCTTGATGTTTTCACCTCTATCGTGTGGTCTAAAGCACACACCTTAGTTTTTTAAAAGAAATTTTTGGACCATGACAAGCATAATTCTTAGTTTTCAGAAAAAATATTTATTGAGGTTTTTGTTTTTCCCCGCAGATCGGCTTCTTTAGATGTGGAACCTTTGTACACCTTCCGCGGCCACACTGGTCCAGTTCTATGCCTGACTATGTCTTCATCTGGTGAGCAGTGCTACAGTGCAGCGACTGATGGTGCCATTCATGCCTGGGCGATACCTTCATTCCCTCTCGATCCATATGACTCCTATGGTGTGTAATATTTTTGAAATTGTATATGTTATATTAACGTCATTTTACATGAATAAGAAATTATATAAAATATTTCAAATTTATTAAAAACTAATCAACGAATCAAAATGGTTTATTATAAATTCTGCCAAATGTGTGAAGTGTGTAGTGTGTTTTTCGAATGGACAAAGTGTTCAGCCAATAAAAGTTAATCTACAGATAACGTAAGTGTATGCTGATAATGTAATGAATTAGTCTTCCGTGAGGAAGCATAATGTTTAATAAGGAAGAACCAGTATGCATTACAAAGAATGGAGTCAGAGACCATCATTTGTTTCAGATGAGTTTAATAACAAATATGTTTCCGATCTGGCCCAATCCAGATACCTTTCCTTCCATAACAAACTGCAGAATCATCCGAATCCTCTCGTTTCAAACCTTGCTTCCTCCTCGATCCCTGATAACCCTCCGAGGCGTCTGAAAAGAAGATGGCCTCGGGATCTTCTAATATAGAACTTTAATTTGAGTTCTACCAATGGGTAGTTTCTCTTCATGTTGTACATGCCATGTTACAAATTTCTCATTTACTTATTGTATTCTCTATGTAATACAGTTGTAAATTCCATTGAAATAAAAAAAAAAAAAAAAAAAAAAATAACAAATAATTTAAAGGAAAAATTCAGGAAAACTTTTAACTTAAAACACGATGCAATAAATTTTCTAATAAATTTAATATCTTGATTGCCCGTCTATTAAATAACTCAGATTTTTTAAGTTCCATATTTTTTCAGCTACAAAAAATTTATAATGCTTTTTGATGATTAATGTTTATTGAAATAATAGTTTTTAGAATGAAATGCTTAAGAGTACTGTGGACTATCTTCTGCATGAAAGGTGTAACTCATGATTTAATTTAATTTATGATAATATTGATAAATTTCTGGACCAGATTTGAAACATAGTTTTCTTACAAAACACCTGAATCCAAGTGACACTTTATGTCACTTTAAACTCACCTTTAAACCCTTAAAACACTGCTCTATAGTAGAAAATTGATGGAAACAATTTTGAGTGACCATACAGGTCTTAAACTAACAAATAATACACAATAAAGTCTGTGGAACTGTTCATTATTCCAAAATGCCATTACAAGATATATGAAATTTTGCCTGAAAAGGTCTTTTTGATTTATGACAATGCTTGACCTATTACATCTCTTCAAATGAACTGGAAGAGTTTTAACATTTTCAGTAAGGATTTTTTTAATATCCTAACTAATTATCCTTATTTGGCACCAAGCAATTTTCAGTAGTTTTTAAAAGTAAAGAATTTTTTGGATTGAAAAGAGTTTACTCAAGAAGACCCCAAAATCAGCAGTGACATCCTGGTTCAGATCTTTAGTGGTCGAAGAGTATACAATCTAAAAAAAAAAGAACATATATAAATGCCTTGACAGTAATGATGGTTATGTTGGAGCTGTTTCTTTGTTAATTCAGAGTATGTTGAAATTTTTTGTTGTTATTTAGTTATGCCAAAGTATTCTTTACTTGTTGAGCAATCCCATCCCTCTTATATAATAACTGGAGGATTCATTACGACCACCTCTTAACCATCATCTTCATGAAAAATTTATTCATTTTCATATTGTCAATAGTTTATAAGAATTGTTTGGTATTTATTCTGAATATTGTTTTTACAATTTTTTTTTCTTTTTCTGGTATTTAATGTAGTATTTTTATTTTCCAATTTTAGAGAGCAGCGTCCTTGCGACAAAGTTGACTGGTCATACTGACTCTGTTTGGAGGCTCGTTTGTCATCCACAGAGGGAGCATCTTCTTTCATCATCAGCTGATGGTACACTCAAATTGTGGTCAACAAGGACCAATAGTCTAGTCCATACATATTCCTCTGAACAGGGTAATTATTTTTTTATTATTATTATTATTTTATTATCAGGGGGAACGGAAAGTAATATTTTCTTACATTAAGTTCAAGCACATACATTTTTAATGAGGTTTTATTTTTAATCAATAATTATGTGTATAACCTTCATTATCAACAGCCACTTACAAAGTGTTGAAGCAATTGGAAGGAATGTAGATCCAATGGTGCAAGATTAGGCGGGCGAGGCAGTACCTCCCACCCCAATTCGTTATTTTTTCCAGAATTCTTCTTGCACAGTGTGGTCTTACATTTACATGTTGCATAATTACGTCTTTTCTGCTGACAGTCACAGGCCACTTTTCAATTAAAGAATGATTTATATGAACCAATTGTTCGCAGTAAAGGTTTACATTTAGTTTGTCCAGATTTCACCACTTCAAAATGAACAAGGCTGCAAATACTCCATCAAAAATACAAAAGAGCCTTTTTGGGGTGTAAATCTGAATTAGCTACATAATTTGCAGGAAATGAATATATTATGATAACTCAAACTATGAAATAAGTGACGGGCATATTACCACTTAATTAGTATTTAGATACATTGAATGGATAATTACCGACTTTGTAATTTAATTATCATTCTTGAGGGAGAAAAAAAATCAAGAAAAATGATGATAAAAGTAAACTGGAAAATATTGTTAATAAATATGATACTAATAATGACTATTTTCAAAAATACGATTATATTAACTATTAATCATTTATTAAGTATTTTATTTTAAAAACTTGGTGAACACCAATGGTGTGGAATATAGTTACCTTCTACAGTGTTGTATCTCTGTTTTAGGTTAGGATAGGTGTCCACATGATATTATGCACTGGATTAGGGACCCCTGCATTCAAGCATTTGTGTAATAACTAAGAGAAACCTCTTGGGCGTCAGCATCATTTTCCTCCAATGACATAAATTTGCATTATACTTATTGTATGTTTTCTTTTGTGACTTCTTGATTGAATCCATGGCCAACGATATGTCCACCATTCAATATTTAAGTTTGGAATTTATTATATTAATTTTTACAATCTCTTGTATAGTACTGTCTCCGACTCCAATATTTCCACCCCTGAGATCTATTTGACGATGTATATAGCTGACATAAAAAAGCTAAAATCAGTTCGTGAATTAAGAGTTTCAAATTCCAAATTAATTAAGGATAGGGTAGGAGTTTTAGGGCAATAAATTTTAGCATTATTGCACCCGCCAAATTATTTAAGCTTTACACAAAAAAATAAAATTTTCTACTTGAAAGCCCAGGAAACTTGCACTTTTTGTAACCAATTCGTTTCTAACAGCCTGTTCCATATCCTTCTCTACTATGAAAAGCTAATAGAAGGCAGACATAAATATTTACGAACATTTCTCTCAGCACCCAGTGATGTATACAAAATACAACACATACTTCAAATCGATAATTTAGAAAAACTTAACTAAATTTACTGTGATGGCCCACACTCCAATTAAGTGTTATGATTATACTTAATGGTCAGTTCAGTTAATTGTTTGTATTTTTTATTATTAGGCATCTATTAATGTAATTATAAAATGTATTGAAGTATTATTTACAATGATGTAGAGATGGTTGACCATGATATAATATGAGAAGGAGTTGGTTGGGGGAATGCAGTCAAATAAATACTATTTTTATAAAAAATAATATTTTTAATTTCAATTGTATTTTTAATTTAGTTTTAATTCAACAGGCGTAACAATTAAAAATACTATTTTTTAAAAATTTAGTATTTATTTGACTGCATCGCTTTCCCCCCAACCAACTCCTTATATTATTATTTATAGTTATTGTTTTTTTAATGAGTCAAGTAAATGGACAGTTTTAATAAACTAGACTCATGTGGGTGAAAGAAACAAAGCTATTTATACCTGTATGATTTGTACAAGATTGTAAATCTTAAACAAATAAAATTCTATTCTATATTAATTTTTACAGAATATATCCAAACATAAGATCAATATTAGTAATATATATTTTTTTTTATATCAAAGATGGCATTCCTACTTCCTGTGACTTCGTGCGTGATGAGTCTGACAAAATGGTTGCTGCTTTTACTTCTGGCCACTGCGTGGTCTTTGATTTGGAAACGGGTAAACCTGTTACGAGGTTGGAATCAACACAGGTACGGATTATTATGTATTACCTATATATTGCCTCGGTAGCATCTTATTATTTATATAATATATGTATTTATAATGTAAGTGACTTGGCTAAACTAGAATTCTATCAAATCTGCTAATTATATAATTTTATCAAAAGAGATTTCCAGTTTTGTAACTATTAAAAAAGTTTAATTATTCTACCAGAAATCATTTTATGTCAAAGCAAATTCGAAGTTACATAACTTTAAAGAAATGAATTTTTTTATTGGTTAAAACTGTAGAAAAAATAAAATTTGTCCGTTAGTCCAAAACAGGCGTGAACTCAATTTTTGTTTTCCTGAAAGCAATCATATCTAATATGTGTAGTAAACATTTTAGCAACTTCATTAAATATTTATCACAAAAAAATATTCCAAAGAATTCATTTCTTTTCTTACTTGTAGTGCAATTCCTTCAATTTCTTCCAGCTCTTGTGAAGTATCTACCTAGTTCTGCCATAAATACTGCTACAAAAGTTGAACTTTGTTTATATTCTTAGGTATTATTTACATAATCCTTATCCCTATCAAGTTATTTTATTTTAATGTCAGGATAATAATCCCAATTAGTTTGTATTTTTCTTTCGCTCGGTTAACATGGAGTGTGGTAATAAAGAAAACCGAATAGCTGTGATCACCTTACACTAAGTTAGAAAATGTAGGTCAGAGATTTTCAACTCTTTGAAACCTTTAGGTATCAGCTGTATATTCATGTACCGCACCATAAATAGATATAATGAGACTCTATCTGAATGTGATAGACCTCGACCGTGCAGTTCCCGCACTGTGAGGATGGTAAATTCAGTGAGAGCAGTAGCTAGCTGCTCGAATCGAATCAGAAGAAATCCCATTCGAAAACAACAAATCATGTATTGGAAAATGGGAATCTCTGTTAGATCAATGTCTCCCATAATAAAAAGTGACTTAGGATGAGTGTCATTTTGAAGAATGACAGGACAAAGGTTAACCATATCCCTAAAAATAATTTGAGTGGATAGATGCGAAGTGCCCCTTGGCCGCTATGCCATGGTCTTCATCGAAAGATATTTTTTACCAATGAGAAAATTTTTACAATTAAAGAAAAATTTAATCGTCAAAATGTGTACGCACACAGCTCTAAAGAAGCCCAGGAAGTCATTGGAAGAGTGAAAAGAGGTCATCACCCTTCCTAAGTGATGGTTTGGTGGGGTATTTGCTTTGATGGCACCACAAAGCTTTATTTTTGTGAAAAAGAAGTTAAAACAGCTGCTAAAAACTATCAGACCTGTTGTCAAGACTATAAATGATATTCTGTTTGGTGGAAGTCATTGGGTTTTCCAGCAGGATTCCGCTCCAGCTCACAACCCTTGGCCAACTCGACAGTGGCTGCAAAAGAACATTCCAGAGTTCATCTCTGCCTCGGATTGACCCTTAGGAAGCCCTGATCTCAATCCACTAGATTGTTGGCTTTGGTCCGAACTGGAGAGGATGGCATGCCACAGAGCATACCCTAACTTGGAAAACCTCAAACAATCTCTGATCTGAACAGTTGAGGGCTTTCCTCAAAAAGTGCTGCATGCTGCTATTGATGACTGGCCATGGAGATTTTAAATGCCTGTGTCAAGGCTAAAGTGAGACATTTTGTTTAATTTCTTTTTTGTTTTACTCTCTATAGATATACATTTTATTTTCTAATAAAGTTTTTAAAAAATTAATTTTTCTGTTAAAATTATTTCCTTGTAACGTTATTTATGAGAGGACGAGATATTAAGAACAAACAACAAAACTTTCTTTTACTTTTAAGTACTAAAAATTAAAAATTAATTTTATTAAGTACTTTCATACTGTTATTTTATTATTTATTAGAAGTATAGTTTATAAAATAAAAAGTTGGTACATCATTCAAAAGACTAAGGCCACAAAATATGGCTTTATGAATATGAATAACTTGACTTGGTTCACTTTCCCCGGATTGGAACCTGACTTAAGGGTGGCCTTCTTTCTAGACAAGTACATTCTACTCTATGAAAAATGTATTATGTAAACCCTAAGTAGAGATTATAGCCATTGTTATATTTTTAATAACTTAATTATTGCAATGCATACAATATTAATTATATAATATAAGACTCCTGGAAAACTATTGGAATTTCATGATTTAAATGGTTGTGTTTTTTTGTTTTGTTTTTTAGGATATTGCGGTGCCAGAGGTAGGAAGACATATATACCGTGCTGTCTGCCACCCCCTGCTGCCGATCACAATGACAGCTCATGAGGATAGGCACATCAGGTTCTATGATAACAATACAGGGGAGGCTGTCCATTCTATGGTAGCACATCTAGACGCGGTTACTTCATTAGCTGTCGATCCCAATGGCTTGTATCTCCTTTCAGGAAGTAAGTTTCGTTTTTCATGATTTGTTTTAATTTATTACTTAAAACAAAATAGAAATTTTGGAAGTTTGATTACCTAAGTTCTATCACTAATTTTATTAATATTTCTCTACTTCATCTAAGGCTAAGGAGCCTTAGAGATACATAAACAAAAATATAGAGTAATTAAATAGTCAAAATAAAAAAATAATAAAAGAAATTATAAGTTACTTACTAATTTAAATCAGTTAATAATAAAAAATTAAAAATTAACATGAAATAAAAATAATGAAGAACGATCTAATAATTTATATACATATTTACAGTAGTAACTATTAACAATTTTATGGGGACTGGATGGATAAGAAATGATTGAACAGGCAGGATTTAAAGGTAGGAAGGGTTTTGGATTGACGAATGAGGGGAGAGATGGAGTTCGGGATGAGGATCGGATAATGAACAATCTGTCGAAAGTCCATAAACTTTCAATTGGATTATGATTCGGTGATTGTTGAGGTGTTTTGAGCATTTTGCGATCATTATATAGCAGCCATTCTTTGTTTTATTGGCCCCATTCCTAACTTTTGGCCATTTTATTTAAATTGTATCGCAACACATCCACATATTTGTCAGCATTCATAATCCCATCAATTCCCCGCTAGTTCATTAACCCCTTTGCCACTCATACCGCCCCAAACCATGACACTGCACCCTCCCTGCTTCACTGTTGATTGTAGATTTTGGGGTTCGATTGCCTCTCCTTTTGTCTTCCAAACATATTTTTTTCCATCAGATCCAAATGTATTATCCTTGCTTTCATCTGAAACAACACATTTTCCCAAAACGTGTAGGGTTTATTTACATGTTCTTGGGCAAACTCGCCTTTTTCTTTCTTTTTTTTTTTTCTGTTTATATAAGGTTTTTTTACCCTTAGTTATTTGGCAATGATTACTTCCAATTAGCAGCAATTTAATATATTTGTTGTATTATCAAAATTGCATGTTTACAAGTTTACGTTTCGGGATATTTACTCCTATCTTCAGAACCACAATCCCAATGATCTTGTGGATTCAAGGCTAAAAAAAAAAGTTGAGTTAAAATATAGTGCATGTTACAATACATATCAGAATTTTGTTTTTACAATAAGTTTGTAATTACCTTAAAACTAATGTGCTCCATCGTCCGTTTCTTATTCATGTTATAATAAATCTAGGTATATAACATCTAGAGCAACATCTTGCTTTTAGACTAATTATTGGTTGTCTGCCATAGTGAATAAAATTCACCTTTGGATCTGACTGTTTATTTTTATACTATTGTTGTTAATGTTTATTTTATGTATCTGCAATTTCATTTCTATTAAATTTTAATTTTGTTTAATATGTCCGTATAATGAGTTCCTAAATGTTTAGTGTCTGTTTTATAATTTACTGTTGTGATGTGTATTGCTTCAAGTAATTTCCTATTGGTGTTTTTTGGTTCTGTGCCCATTATCTGTTTTACCGTTCTACCTCTATAGCCAGCTTCATGTAGCCGATTCCTCATGGTTTGAGGTGTTAAAGATTTTCTATAAGCTGATGCGATGTGAGCCGAAACCTCTCTAGCACTTAATTTGGAATTTTTTGACACTCTACGTACAATTTCAAGAGATTCTCGCACTGTCAACAAGCGTTTTCACCTGGACAGGGTTTATTGTCCACTGATTCATTTTTAATTTTTTTTTTAAAAGGCCCCCAAGCACGGGGCCAATAAAACCAAAGAATGGCTGCTATATAATGATCGTAAAATGCTCAAAACACCTCCACAATCCTCGGATTTTAATCCGATTGAAAGTTTATGGGCGTTGTTGGAATTTAAAATATTCTTGTACTTCTCAGAATGACTTAATAAAAAATATTGGGAAGAAATTAGAACAGAGTAGACCGACAGGCTCATGGAATCATTGCCAAGAAGGCTCAGTGATGTGATAACCATGAAAGGGGTTGTCCTACAAAATACTAAAGTTAATTGAGACATATATTTATTATATTTGTTTGGGTTAGTTAAATGTACGAATATTTTTTTGTGCTTCATATTTTGATATTTTCATACAGTATGAGTTATAAAATTTTACTTTTTGTACAATTAATGCAAAATAAAATTTCTAATTGTTATTTATAGTTGTTTCATGTTGAAAACATAAATAAAAAGATTTTTGATTAAGAAATATGGTGTACGAATACTTTTTTTGCCCACTGTACATTATATTCTCTGCTGGCCCATTAGTTTTTCCTCCTACCATATAAACCTTATGAAGTGGGTGAAAATTATACAGTTGGTCTTCTTAGAACAACAAAAATAATGTATGGTTGTATCACAAAGTTTAAAGTTATTGAACAGTTAAAAAAAAAAATTAAAAACAAAGTCTGGAGGTTCCGTTTTGTTTTAGTTTTTAGTATTATAAATCAATTACATGAAATCCTATTTATAAGTTACAAATGTTATATTTTTTATTACAGGTCATGATTGCAGTATTCGACTTTGGAACTTAGATTCTAAAACTTGTGTCCAAGAGATTACAGCTCACAGGAAGAAATTTGACGAGTCTATATTTGATGTTGCATTTCATCCTACTCGTCCATTCATTGCTTCTGCGGGTGCTGACGGCCTTGCAAAAGTGTTCGTATAGTAAGCCAGCGTTACTTGCGTGTAGCACCTCAGTGTGTCATATTTCTTTTCGTATCAATTTTGTTATCATCAGAGTTAATGCTGCTTCAATCATACATTTTTTTCCAATTGGAAACTGTAATTATTGGTTGTATCTGAAATTCGAAGGTATAGAATTTTTTCTTTAGAATTTTTTTTTTTATTTCTACGTTTCATTAATTTAGAAAGTAATTAGCCGATTTTAAAGACTCTCTTTTAGATATAGAAATATCTCTGTAGTTTTTTAAAGTTGAATTAATCTGTTTTAAATAAGAAATTTAGTATTTTAGTGTTTTGTATATGAGTTAATCTTTTACTGGCTGGTCATCGATATTATACCTCTTTTTAATTTTCAGTCATCAATACGCTACTTAATTCATATATTAAGTTAATTTTTTAAGTAACACAAAGCATTAAAGGGTTTTATTTTTCATCATGCAGGTCAATTAAATTTTTTTTTTTTTTTGTCTAAAAGAAAATTGAAAAAAAAAATGAAATATTATTTATTGCTTTGGATCTTCAAATATTATTTTTTTAAATATATTTTTATTTTTTTGTGAATGTTATTGAGTACAGCCTGTTTCTTACTGTTATAAATGCTTTGACAACTACTCCTGTTGAAGTTTTCAAAATTGTATATAATTGTACATAATATTTCCAGATATAAGTTGTCTAAATATAATTACAAAAAAAAATTGTATTTTAGCTTTAACTTGTATATCTTAAAAAATGAATACTCAGATTAATTTTCAGATATCTTCAATTTGTGTTGTTATTTATACATTCTTATTGACATGTTTACATGTTCTCATTAATTTAACATAATTTTGTGGCAATTTAGTGAAACAACAGCCATCTGATATTTTATTGGAATGCTCCACTTATTAGAACATCCTTTGAGGGGTGGCAAATTTTGTATTTCTGGAAGGGACTATGTCTGATACTGAATAATAATATGTAGTCTTTTTTTTTAACTGAGTTCGGTAAGAAATTTTATCTGACTGCCTTCTATGCTTGTTGCAGGTTGAGACTGGATCCTATGTTAGCCCCATCACAATAAAGCTTTTGCCCAACTCACTTTATTAACAGAAAATAAATTTCATCGATTCATTCAATTACTCTGATATAACTTTATTACAATTGTAACATTAGTTTTTCCTTTTAACGGTTTAATTAATTGCATCTATTTATTCATAATCAGAAAAAGATAACACTGAAAATATTATTTAAAAAAAACAGCATTATGGATTATTTCGTTTTTATATTTTCATTGCAGTCTTTTGATTAATAAATATCAACTTTCAATTTTATTCCTTGATGGTTGTGTTGACTGAATTGTAACAATGTATGTGCTAGAAAGAGAAATAGTAAGATATTTATATTGTTATAGTTTACACTGTTCTTAAATTTTTCGTTCTGCCTCGTCGACCCCACTGTCGATTTGCTTAATTTAAGTCACTTTCTGACTGAATGTGTTAAGTCGCCCAGTGATTGGTTATAGTAATAATAGTTAAGTGGGGGGGAGGGGATTTGAAAGCTTGAACTCTCTCTATGTGTAAGGCGTCTTATTTATTTATTTATTATTATTTTCTTTTTCAATATTGTGTGATATTTCAATTTAAATAATAGGATTAATTGATGTGATCTAAATGGAAGTGATGAGAGTTGTTTTATGATTTTTTTTTTCTTCTCTATTTTCAAAATAAGATTTGTCGAGTATGAGTGTTGTGAGGTCTGCAAGAGATCAGATCGTAATTTGTATAAAGCACAAAATGTACACACTGTATCATATTGTATTTATACTCTTGTAGTTTATAGAAATTAGTTATTCTAAAAATATTTTAAAATTTGTCATGCTTGAATGAGAAAAAAGCAACTAAACACAGAATATAAAAATGTCAACATGAATTATCTGTCAGTAAAAACTTAATATTTTTATGGTTTTAAAGTCGACCAATCCATTTATTTTAAGAATATAGAATTATTTATTATTAAATCATTATTGTATCTTTGTGCATAACAAAAACCAGTGATGTAATTGTCTATGTGCGTGTGAGTGTGTAAGTAAAGCTGATATGTGTATATATTATATATATATCTTATTCTACTTAATTGCTACTTTTTTTTTCTTTATCGTGTTACCATCGGTGTTAATATTCTTTTTTTTTGTATTGATTATGGATCTAATGATGAATTAGTTACTATATTTTTTTATATTTTGAATTATGATTAGAAAACATTTTAATTAAAAAAATTATGTTATAATCTGATTAATTTATTTCTTTTTATCTTTATTTATTTATAGTTTAATCGAGATTGAAATTATAGTAATAAAAAAAAAATTATATCAATGTGTTTTCTTTAAATAATAATTTTGGTTTTTTATCACAAGAAAATGTAGCTATATTGTTAGTTTATTCCAGAGCATCATTCGCTCCTTTATTTATCTGATAAGTAGAGCTCATTTGATTCGAGATTTTATTTTATTTGTATTAAGTAGTATTTGATACAGTTTTCTATATAGCTGTTTATTTAAGATTTTTCTAATTGAACTGGTTTATTTATAAGATGGCTGGAGAATAACAACCTACTAAAAGGTCCTGTTTCTGAATATTATCCTTAGTAATTATGCACGAATGTGAATAGAAAATTAATCACGACTCAAACGTGTTTCCTGAATTAGTTTAGGCAAGATGGATTGTATTGAATAATATTGTGCAGTATGTGAATATAGTCTTAGCCGTCGAGCTATTTAGATAGTAGCAGCAGTCAGACTGCACTCAGGTCATAGTAGGTCAAATTAGAAGTTACTGTTTTCTGTTATTATGTACAAAGCGATAAGAACCTTTAGGCGCTATATCTTCTACCCTCAGTGGGTGTCACGAAGCAAAGAGCTCGCTCAATTCATTCAGTTTATGGTAATCATTAAGTAATACTCAAAATGACTTGCAGTCGAAACATTGATAATGGTTTTTTAAAGGATTTTTTCAACTCGACAGTTGATGAAATCTGTGTCTATCATTTCGATTCTCTTAAGATACTTATGTAAGGGAGTTATGTATATATTAGAATGTTAAACCTATTGTAATCTATAGAAGATAGAAGTGTGTTATCCATCTACTCGACTGTATACTGTACATATAAATATAAATATATATATTATATATCAAAGTGAATACCTGTGCATTACTAATAAATGTTTTATTTATATAAAATAAATATGTATGGACTCATTAAATGTTTTTCTTCAAAAAACGTGCACTAACTTTCAGGTTAGGCTAGTTTTTATGTACACTTGTGCTATTGTTTGTATTGTCCCTTGATCCCACAATCTACGATAGTTTTACCATTTGGATGGGTGTATATCAGAAAAATCATACGTCACAACAGAAAAAACCTGTATTCTCTAACACTTCATTGCTTACTATAAAAGGTTTGAGTTATTTTAATAATCGTATAGGAGTTAAACTTCTTTTTACCCCTTTACTGTTAAACAAGCAAGTATCACTGGTGTGGTAACCAAATAGCAAGGAGGGCTCTTGAGATAAAACTAACTCTTGAACACACTACTGGTTACTGTTAATTCTTTTGTCAATGTTTCGAGCCAATGTCTCATCTTTTGAACCTCAATAGTGACACCACCACATTTGTGAAAACGAAAACCCAAAGGTTTTGATATGATCCTTATCTAATATTTATTGTTAAAAAAAGTTTTTTAAAACTATTCTGATATATTTGTTATTATGGATACTGACATAGTCAGTCACTGACAAGGAGCAATCGATAAATGGTTTCAATCGTGGTTGAGGCCATGAAAACTGACAAACTAATTGCTACACGGTTAATAATGAAGTGGTAAAAAGGAAGAGTTTCATTCAACTATAATTATTAAAAAACTGAAGTCTGCACATAAAGTAAACAATTTCTTGATTTTATTAAGGATGTAATCCTATTTAGTAACGGTTAAATTAAGTTTGTTTTTCTTGATTTTCAATAAAAGCATTACCTCAATCAAAACTTACTCATTATTCTCAAGCAGAATCAAACCAAAATTAACATGGAGCATAATTGAACATAATGTTAAAAAATAATTGAAAATCATGATGCAAATTTTAACACAACTTCTTAACTGAGCCAAAAAGAAATTATATGTTTTTTTAAGTCCTTATCCAAATTGTAGCATTAATTGTTAATGAAATCTATTTTATGCCAAAAGTAAACCACATTAATCACTAAACCGATTGATCTAATTATGTCGGATGGATATAGAAGGTTGTCTAAATTAAATGCGAAATATACCTTAATTGAGTTTGAGGTTTTTGATTGATTTTATAAATTATACTGAAGTCTGCTTGAATTCTAACAGAAAAACTGACCATTCATTATAATACAATTAGCTAAAGACCAGATATCTGAATAGAATAAAAAGTGTTCTAGAATAAATATTGTTAATTTAATTTTTGTAATATATTTATTTATAATAGAATGTGAAAATATGTCAATAATTTGTATTTCTATAAGTAGGCAATTGGTCAAAGCGGCCAGCTCTCCTGCTATCGTAGTCTCTTTCCGATCCTCTGCTAAAATAAAAAATGTAATTAATTACTTCAAGTTGTTTAATGATAAAAAAAATTAACATAAAGTTTTACATTTATGTTTTCATATTTTAGAAAACTTGCACAATTATATTTCCTATCACACTCATTAGATTTTTAACAATAATTTAGTGATATTAATCAGATTATTGACTAGATAAAAGAGCCGATAACAGTTGCTTCTACTATGAAATCTTTCAGGATCCTGATTACTTACATTTTTTTTTTCCAGATCTGCTTAGTGAGCCATGCATGGGTATATTAGCAACGAGTAAATTTTTAAAAGTTACTGTCCTAACGATATATGATGTCTAAACTATGGACTAGTAAAGTTTTTAGAATAAATGAATAATAATACAATAAATAAAACTTAAGAAAAATAAAACAAAACAAAATAAACATATAAAATATGTATATGATATATATATATATATATATATATATATATATATATATATATATATATATATATATATATATATATATATAATATCTCAATAGTACAATCAACCATTGTACTATACATATACATATAAGATCTGTCAAGAATGATGAGTACAGTGAAGAACTATTTCACCTGAGTGCAGCTGTTTGTTTAACATCTAACTGAAATAAAATTAAGCTGATGACTAATATAGAGAAAACAAAAATAATTTAGATAATTTAAAATAAAATAACATAAATAATATTATATATATATAATATCTCAATAGTACAATCAACCATTGTACTATACATATACATATAAGATCTGTCAAGAATGATGAGTACAGTGAAGAACTATTTCACCTGAGTGCAGCTGTTTGTTTAACATCTAACTGAAATAAAATTAAGCTGATGACTAATATAGAGAAAACAAAAATAAGGATGGATAATGTATGCCTTGAATTTGTAGAAGAGTTGTACACGACGAACATTTTATTTTTCAGCTATATATTGCTCAGACTAAAAAAAGTTTTAATTTCGTAAATATTGTGCCATTAATAATGACCATTGGACATAATGAATCATGTAAATGAGGAAATCATATAAATTGAATTTACTGAAGTGTATCTTTTTTAAGTTATTAGTTTTGAGTTATTAATTAAAATTAAATATATATTTAGTTGATTATGATAGTGATAATGTCAGGCAATAACTGTTCAAGTGATAATTTAAAAGGAATTTCTTTTCAACTTTAAATATAAATTTAAATGAAAATTACACATATCACAGAAGTCAATATATCAAAATGAAGCTGGAACATGTTAGTTACTTCATAGCATCTAGTGCTATTATCTTTGGCTTTTTTTAATTGGGGTACATAGGTGCACAGCTTTAGTCAAGTATTAGAATTTTGGATGCTAACACCCGAAGTCTGTGAATGAGGTACCTTGTAGCAACAGGGGAGTCCTCCGCTAGGATATTTGTAAATTTGTAAAGGTCACTGAAAGAAAATAACTTTTTTTTTTTTTTTTATTTCAAGCAATGAACTTGAATTATAAGAAATATAAAATAATAAGTAAGAGACAAATATATTTTTGTATTGTCATTTTAAAATTATGAGGATGATATTCAGTTTGCACAATAGCTATTGCTACACTAGACAGTAACCATTGTCCTGATTATAACCCATATATATACTTGGATTCAAACATCCATAAGCCTTATATTTACCATGTATTGACTCTGAAATTCTGACTATTTGTCATCTTCAAAGTATTTTATATAGACACATGTTAAATATTTAGTTAATTGAAGTAGTATTTAATCTATCAATGAGATCACTTCAAGGGAGGCTTCCAGAATGAAACTCCCATAATAGGAAAATGTTTTGGTTTTTTGCTCCATATTTGTTTCTATGAGTGATGTAAGCTAACTGCTAACCAATAACAATATGTTATCTTTTTCGAATTAAAACTCATGTACATCAGCTACCAGTTGCACAAGCATTTGAATAAAATAAAATAAAAAACATTTTATCCCTGAAAGCATTATTGTTATTGTAATTATTGGTATTAAAAAGAAAAAGTTAGCCCTCCATAATTGAATCTTGAATTAGGTTTTTATATATGAAATATTGTATATGAAAAATGGGCAAATGTAAAAATTATTATTTTTTTTTTTTGTAAGTGAGAGCTTCAGCTTGAAAGTGGTAGTACTTGTAGTATATTCTTACAAGAAGTGGTATTTTATAGCTCTTTTGTAAGTTTTACCATTTATTAATTTAAACTGTTAGCATGCGCACATGCAAACAATATAATTTCAGTAGATAATAGTATAATAAATAACTGACCTGTAAATAGATTGGGTAGGGTTTTGAAGCGTAAGGGGCCTGAAGGTACCAGCCGAGTCCAAGAAGTACAGCTGTAGGAGAGGTGACGGGTCTCCACCGCGGTTGGACAACCACAAGGAGTTGACGTGGCCGCTCTGCTGGAGGGCGCCCCTAGACGTGGAGTCGTCCCTCCTCCCTGTGGATATCCACAAAGGATTGATGTGCCCATTGAGCTGTTGGCAGCAGCTTAGCGCTACCAATCCCAGCAGCAGCAGTGTCTGCAACTCAAGCGTTCTCATCAACACAATGGTTCTGTTATTGCACTGATATATATTGGCCTATCCTTCGATTCAGCGCTATTTAACTTGTTAGAGATTCTTTCATTATTAACTTCAACAACTTTGAATGTGAGTTTTAACTTCAATGATATTTTCTGGACGTATGCCCTTCAGTAATGCATTGTGTTGCTTCCTAAATTCTCTATTCATTTTTCTTCAGTCTAAATATTCTTTGCAATACTCCACTTTCGAAGATCTCAGTATTTTTCTTTTTTGTTTTAACAAGAGCGATCTTGTTTATACTTATATCTAGGCAAGAGCCTAGTCGTAAATCTGGCTCTGATTAAATGATCTATTATTAAATTTAATCAATAATATGTCTAGGTTTTAAAAGGACTTCAGGAGGCTATGTTTCAACTATAAAAAATCTTTTTAACAAGATGTTTTTATTAAATATGGCATTTTGGTTTTTATTAGTGATTTTCTTTATAGTCTAGAATAAAACAACAATAAAGAAAACATTTTTAAAAACTAAGTAGCACGGCTTCAATTGAAATTTTATTTTAATTAACTCTTACTTATAATCAGCTTCGGTATGGCCGAAATCTATACTTTAAAATTTTTTTTTCTGTTATTTTAGAATTAGAACTTTTCCTTTTGCAATTTTTTAAGTTAAGGTTTTAGAGAGCTTTTATTTTTAAAAAATTACTTCTATTCTTACAACTGACGCATTAGAATCGAGTAGTCAATTTAAGATAAATTATAAAGAATTTAAACTTTCGCAATGACCAGTAATTTCATTTCAAAAAATTTTGCAGAAACTGTCAAAATAGAACTTTTTAAAAAAGTTTCTAGCTCTGCTTTATAGTATTCTATTCCATGATAGTACTTGCTATGATAATAATTTCTTTGAAAGTTTTAATTATAAATTTAGTTGTTTTCATTTTATCAATTTATTTTGCCATATATCTATCTATCTTGGTAAAACAGGTTTCCTTATTTTCTTTCTTTTCACTGGTTTATCTTTTTTGGCAAATTTGCATTTATTCTTTTTATGGAGTTAAACATTTAATTTAAATGTTTAAACTTTTATTGTAATTGGTTGAAATTGATTTATGAAGATGAAATGAAAATTAGTCTGAAAATCAAGTAGTAAAGAAAAAGAAAATAAGAAAAGCTGTTTTTACAATGGTAAGTAAATGGCAGAAGTCCTCTTGAAATGGAAATATAAGTTTTTATTTCATTGGTTTCTAAATATTTTAACAATCAATGTATTTTTTTCTAAATTATAATGCATACAACTACTAATGTATGCATGTATTAAATATATATATATATATATATGTGAGACATTTTTTACTTTTTTAAAAACCTTCTTAATACTTATGTAAAAAATCAACATTTTTTTGTCCTCAAGGATTTAAACATAATTTCATATAAGCATTCCTCACCTCCCATTTGTTCTTCCATAGTAACAGCCATTAAAAAAAAATAAAATAAAATAAAACTTCCTAAAATCACATAACCTCAATCTATTATTGATTACATGTTACAATTAAAGATCCTACTAAAAGTTAATAAACGAAATAAAGTTGTTATAAATGATTTTTCATGTTTACCAGTTGAAAATATATGATTTGGTAAGTAAAAAGATGAAATTAAAATATGATTTTTTTACAATTTCGGACAAATAATTTTGCTGGAACGCCGACCATCCGAAAAGAATTCCGAAAACATAGGTATTACATAATAACGAAAAATACAATTAAATTCCTAGTGAATAATTTTAAAATTATTTAAATAAAGCTAGTTTTAAAATTTGGCATTTTGATCTATGCGATTCTGTTGGCGTCGAACAATGATGTCAGAACGTTAATTATATACTTTTTGATTATTATTTATTGTTATTTTGCTTCTATTTATTTTTATATATTTTTTTTGTACATATAGTGTGAATGTTATCCTACCTCTCTATATATAATTTCCAAGTGGGAGATTGTTGTAATACTCAATAAATAAATAAATTGATAGATTTTCTAAAAACATAAGACCGTTAATTTGTGACATAATGGTTTGAATCACTTGCGGATCCTGGATTTAATTTTGTGGGGGGTTCTTCAGCCCGAAAGCTTTTTTTTTTCATAAAAATAACTATAGTTGCTTTGGAAAAAAGAAAGAAACTAACTACTAAATGGTGTTTAAGTGATTCCTAAAGTCCTATTAAACTACACAAACAATAATACTTTAAGCGATAATTTTTTAATATTTTTTTCGATAAAACATGGTTATATCTTACCATTTTGGGAGGGGGCTTCAGCCCCAAAGTCCGCCTCCCCCCCCGTAGATCCGCTCGTGGTTCGAATCCTACTTATCAGAGATCCAGATTACCCCAATAATATTTTACCTATAGGTCGTTTAGTAAAACTCAAGAAGTCAACTAAGTATTGTTCTGGATCAACGCGGCTCTACTCTATTTTTGTATTGCATGTAGAATGCCTTCTGTATTCTAATGTAAACAATTTTTAATAAGATACCACTTTCTGAAGAAGTCCCATATATAACGTACCACTAATAAATCTAAATTGATGCAAGCTATAGAATTACCTTCAATATAGCCATGATGTAGCGGACAGACAGTAACGCAATGGCTACAGTCGATGTATATATATATATACATATACCAATATTCTGAAGGGGTGACCTCGCCTTGAGCAATCTTCTCGACCAGCGGCTGGAACCTGCGGTCCTCCTTTCGCCCCTCACCAAAAAACAATGATGTTAATAGTTTAACAGTTTGCACAATCGTTGGTTTTGTAACTGCTACGAGGAGCATTTTTTTTTTTTTTTTTTTTTTTTGTCAAGTTGACAAAAGGTTCTTACAATTAGTTTTAAATCAATAAGAGGGATTGGTCAATTATATTGATAATATTATTGTAAGATCTCCAAAAAAATCCTCGATTATCTCAAACAGGATTCAATGTTAAATCAACTCAGGCATTATCAGGACTAAATACAGATCATCACGCCAAGACAGTTAAATGTTATGATTTAAATTGAATATTTTGTCATTGAGATTATCTGGTGTGTGGTGCGTCTTTGTCACCACAGCAGGTCATTCGTCTCTCTCCCCGCAACATTTTAGCTTCTTCAGTTATTCCTTTGAATCAAATGAGCTGAAATTAGGTACGCAGGGGTGCCCAGAAGAGGGTTTTATGCCGCAAGCTGCGCCATCAAAATTTATGAAGGAGGTACTTTTCGAAGGATTATGAATTTTCAAAATTAAAAGTTTCAAATTAAAAGACAAGTGGAAGCATGGAAGAGACCGCAGGATGTGTTATTCTTGATAATCTATGAATATTTAAATTCTACTTTCGTTTGCACTGTTATTAAGAAGAAGAGAGGAATAAAATACCTCGGAAAGGATTGGGAGAGGTTCATGCGCCATCGGCCCCCGATAGGCACCCGTGTAGGTACGTATGTTTGTTTTATATGCAGAACAATACCATTTAAAATAAACGACCTTATTTAGGTTTATCCTTAAAACTGATAAACATAATAGATTAATATTACACTAGAAAAATGATGTTTAAATCCTTGAAGCCAAAAAAAAAAAATTGTTTTTTTAATTTTTAAATAAGTAAAAAAATCCTAAATTACAAGAACAATAATGCTTTTAGAGATAAATGTCGTATATATAAATACCGCTTAGGTCGGGTAAACATTAACATTTCAGCTTATCCATGCAGTTTTTTTTTTTTTTTTTTTTTTTTTTTTTTTTTTTTTTTGCGTTTTTCAAAACGTTTCCCAACAGTCCCACTTTGATCTCATGAAATACTGAAATATTTGCCAGGCCGTTCTATTGTCGGTGATCATAGTGGGACACACAAATGATCAGCAAAATAAGTTAATAAAAAAGTCAAGAGAGTAGCATCTATACTTAGGTAATTTTGTTTTAATTAGTATGTTTCAATATTTATATTACGATTATTATAAATTGGAATCGGAGAGCTGCAGCAGAAGATCCAATCACCTGAAAACGGAGGATGCCAAGGTCCACATCAGGCTGTAGTGCCATTAAAAAAATATGATTTTAAATTAGATATTAGAATAGAATAGAATAGAAAATAATTTTATTCTGCGATGAAGTCCCTTTAGAATAACAAAAAAGTACAAAATTAAAGTATTATATCTGGCCTAAGTAAAAATAAACATAGAAAGTAAAAATAAAGAAAAAAAAGTAAAGAAAATATTAGTTAAACATACTATGTACGAAATAAAAAAAAATCTATATACAAACCATTTGAAACCGTGCCGACACTTAAAACTATGTACAGTGAGTAAAATATAAGTATACACTTAAAAAAAAATAAATAAAAAAATACATTACATTCTTCTTAGCAATAAACAATGTTTCTGCAGAAAAAAAAGGAAAATAAGTCGAATCTGATAGTAAGTATTTGAGTGATGAATTATATGTAAATATATCATTATGTGAATCATTTTGAATAATATCTAAATTTACATAGAAGGTTAGCGGAGGGTTTCTGACTGTTTTTGGGATAGTAATTGGAATAGGAGGGTTTTAAATATAGATAGAGAGGGATAATGCCGAATTTTCATAGGAAAGGAATTTCAGAAATTAACAGAGCGAGCAATAAACGAGTTTTGGGACGAGGCAGATCTGTGAGAAGGAATGTAAAGGTCGGAAGGTGGAGATCTTGTGAAAAGGGAGTGGACTGAGGACTTCGAGGAGGAGAAGGTTGTAGTCGTAAGAAGGTTGATGATTGTTGATGATTTTATAGAGGAACGTACCTAGGAAATATTGTCTTCGAATGGAGGGGAAGAGCCACTTTAACTCAGATATTATGTATATATGCAGATATTTAATATTATGTAATATTAAATTTAAAATTCATACTTGACAGCGAGCACAATGACAGCTAAGTTAAGACTAGATCAAAGTGGGAACAGCACTTAAATCAACAGGAATAAGAAATAAGATTTTATTGAGAAATGAAAATTTGGACTGTTATTTTCTGCTATTCCGCTGCTTCTTTCTCTTCTTCGTATCCCTCGCTGGTTGCGTTCCTCTTTGGATTGTGGAAAAGGCTTTTATCTCCATCGCCCCACGGAAATTTCTGTAAAAACACAAGAATAGCGGTAACAAATACTCTGAAGTTTATAAACTTATAAGGGGGCATCCTCTTGCTCCACCATATGATATAATTAATATACAAATTATATATTACCTTGTTTCTTATTCTAAGGTAGCGGTATTTTACGAAAGGTGGCCTTTCCTTTTCACTGGCGAAAACAAGCATCGCGATGGAGTTGGCTACGATGATTGGTAATCCGATGCATAGTGCCAATAGTTTGAATGGCACATGACTTCCAGCTGAAAAACGGAGTATGTTCAATTTTAGGTTAGTTAACTAATCGTTCTTAATGCATTTTTGTTGAAAGAATATCGTCGGTTTATTGCATAGTCAATAAAACTACCAGGTTCGCTCACTCAGAGTCAAAATGGTGGGGAGGAATCGAGCTCTGACGTACCCAATAGACTGATTTTACATCTCCGGCCTTTGTTTCTGGACATTTTAAGATTATTATTCACTTTTCTGTATTAAATCAATACTGCATTGCCAAATAACTTATTAATTTTAATAAATTTGAATGGTGAGAGAAAGGTTGATTTGATATTTGGTTTATTCTGAAGCAAATAAAATGTAATTTAACAAGTTGATGTATGATTTTTTGCAAAGTACCACAATAATATTTTTTAAATATTTCAAATAAATACAGAGCATAATATAAAATAAAATAAATATTAAAAACAAGTAAAAGTATTTAATCTAAAATTAAAGAAGCGTTTTCTTTCCGTGAATTTTTGTATATTACATGCTTATGTCATAAGTAATCCTATGTAGTGATTTTTCTCAAGTTTTTTTGTCTTCGATTTTATGTTTTCTTAATTGTGAAAATTTTTGGGTATTTAAAAATTTGATTCTAATAAATTGCTGAAAGAAAGCCTTTACTAGTTCTTCATTAATTTCTACATTTTGTTTTCTAAGAAAAAGATTAGTCAATTTTTTTACACAGTTTTTTTTTTTACATTCACATTTTAAAATCCAATCTTTTCTTCGAGCCTCCTTTGGAAAAGTATGAAATGAAATTATCTTTCCTATCTTCTTTGCGTCAATTAGATTAATGTTGCAAGATGGAACTGCGCAGTTTGTACCTGGCATTCTACAGGATTCTGTTAATAATTATGTCATTATAAAAATACAAGAAATACTAGTAAGAACAAACGAATTCTCTTTAGCATGTTATTAAAAATAAAAAATAAATACTCGTTATAATATTATTTTAGAGACGGATAAGTAGTTGACTGTTAAGATTATAAGGTAAAAATAAATTATCAGGATTTGCAGTACAATTTGTTTATCTTTTTAATTAAATTTGTTTATTTAAAGAAATTTTGACTGCAAATCATGACCAAGATCTTCACCCTTATAATATTATTATAATGTCGTTATAATATTAAAAGAAATACCCACGAGATCTAGAAACAAAATTACACAAACATTGTGCTAAAATGTTCTCTAAATAAATATAAAGATTAGTTTTTACTATTTATGTAATATACTTGTATACTATTTACAGAGATTTTGAAATAAAGAATTTAAAAATAATCTTAATATCAATTTCGTTCGTTTTATTTCACGTCTGGCCTGTAATTTTCATAGCATTTTATTCTTGATTGATAGCCGTATTTGTTTGTTTATGTACTTGAAATTATCTTCAATCAAACGTCAAAAACACAGAAAAGTATTCTTCTCAATAAATTAAACAAGAAAACGACTGCCGACTTTTTTTTCATGCCGTTTACTAAAATATTCATAACTCCTCAGGTTTTTCTCTTAAGTCGACGTTGCTACAACCGTTGAAAAGCTAAATTATTATTCCTCAAAACTATATCGACAACTTTGATGTTTCATGCTTTTCTATTAAGGAGTAAATAAATAAAAACTTCCCAAACGTTTTTACTTTTATCTCTATCTCTAAGTCTAATTTATTTGCGGGATTCTGGTTTGTGCCATTTTGTTTATAACATGAGGCATGTTGAAGTTGTCACGTTTGTGATTTTCGAAAAAATATTTAAGGCTCCTGCCTAATCGGAAATTTTGGGCAAAAAATTTTTATTTTTTGATTAGTATGAAAATTCGTCTTTAAGGGTTTTTCAAGGTTCGAAATATAAATCTCAACTTTGTTTCTCCTTAAAATAATATTTGAACCTTATAGCTGTATCCCAAATATATATATTTTTCTAAACCGGACGGTATGAAATGCACAAATTCTAATATTTTGTCGAAATTCGACGCGAAAATAAGAAAAAAAAAATATTTATTTTACATATTACACTATGAAATATATTTTTTGGAATGAAAAAATATGATATTCATTTTTCACACCTCTAAAAGCCCATAAATAAGCATTTTCGTTGCAATTGAAGAGTGTAAATTTTTCGATCAATATTCTGCCATATATTAATAGCACTTGTGAGATCCATCTATGAAATTTTCATTGCAATCGAAAAAGTAATACCTTTTTTTTTTTTCTAATATCTACTATAAAGCGATAAACATAGATGAATATTTTATTAAACGACATGAAAAAAAAAAAATGTTCCCATAAAATTAAGTCCAAAAATTTATATTTTTTAATTCCAAAAGAACTCGTATTTAAGAGTTTTAGTGAAATGTTCCCATAAAATTAAGTCCAAAAATTTATATTTTTTTATTCCAAAAGAACTCGTATTTAAGAGTTTTAGTGAACCCAAAAAACAAATCCCCTTCCTCGCCTTTTAGACTACATGGGGGGTTACACGGGCCAGGCGCAGAAGGCGGCAGGTTAATACTTGAGTTAAAAGTCCCCCGAAACCGAGGCCCGAACTTGTTATTATTTTATTATCTATAACATTGGTAAATATGAGTACGGGTAATAATTATATCACAGATAATAAGTCGATAACTAAGCTACTCCTTTATTTATGTATGACGTTCTTTCCTTTCTCCGTCCTTCCAAGCACTGAACGTTAGTGTTGCAAGACCAAGACCAAGAATGGTAAAAAAAATCGATTTTTTGAATAAAAATTGAGGAGAAATAGTTACTAATACTTGACAATTTTAGTTACTATATGTAAAGAATTGGTGTAACCGATATACTTTTTCATTTAACTTTTCTGATTTTTCATTCAGACTTAGTTAGGTTTCCCATATCTAAAAAATTACAGCAGTATCTTTCTAGTAATAAGCTAATAGGTAACTGCAAGACTGTTACGAGAGTTTTACGCAAGACCAAGACCTAGACCAAGACTCGTCCCGATCTCGGCATTTGGGCAACACTACTGAACGTTGTTATCAAGTTACACCAACCTTGGCTCCTTCCTCCAATATTTGTTAACTGTTTGCGACCATGGAGGAACTATAAGGATGCTTACATAACTATGAAGACATAACTTAATGGTGAGGTGAAGTACTTACGATGAGCTTTGGGTATGGCATCCAGCGGCTTGGGCGCCTTCAACCATCGCTCGTTCAGTGCGGACTCATGACACGGGCTAGCTTCCTTACCGTCAGTCATTGCTCATGCATAGTGCTAATTTATGTACTTATGTATTTATCTTCGGAGGTTAGTAAGTAAAACTGAATTATATTTAACATATGGTGTGGAGATTATTTAAAGCAGTACCATCGTGACGTTCATTCGGATATACTTGGAATGATCTGAGATACAGCGCTATATCTTATTATTTTATTATTATTGACAACTAACATATTATTTTCACTAACTTCTTATATCTCTAAGCAATACACATTTCCTTTACTTAAAACATAATAATATTTCAATCCAGGTTATGAAAGCAATTTTTTGGTTTAAGTGTGTTTCTTACACGGACTTAACAACCCACATATGATAAGAATAATTACAAGGAAGTCCTGAATGAGGAACCTTCTGTAATTTCCTTGTATCTAGAATAATTATGAGGGGGCGGGGTAGCTAAATGTGTAAGGCTCTGACTTCTTAAACTCAAGTAGGTCTCGCGTATGTGACTAGTGTTGGCCGAGTCTTGGTCTTGTGCAAGAGTCTTGCAGTTACCTATTAACTTCTTACTATAGAGATATTATTGTAATTTCTTAGATAAGAGCAACTTAATTAAGTCCAAATGAAAAATTAGAAGAGTTAAATGCAAAAGTATATTGGTTATCAAAAAATCTTTGCATATAGTAACTAAAATTGTCAAATATTAGTGACTATTTTGCCTTAATTTTTATTTTAAAAAATAGAACTTTGTTACCAGTTTTGGTCTTGCAATAGTTAGGTGCTCTTGGTCTTGCAAAGTGCAAGACCGATTTTGGGCCACTCTATAGGTGATGGCGTGTAATTTTTTTTTTCTCTTGAATCAGCCGTAGATCGACCCTAAGCTAAGATCGGGTGACCCTCCTAGGGCTTTCCAAGCTCCTTGATGCTCTTAATTAAAGGGGAAAACCTGGTATTTGAGCATGATTTCAGTCCAATCACCTCTCTGCACAACCATTGGCCTTGTTAACTTGCTTACAAATTAATGAACCCAAGAACCTCTATGGGTTGTAATGGTAAAAGTTATTTTTTTAAACTATTTATGATACACAATTTTTAACATGGCATTAATTGTTGATTTTGACAGACCATCGGCTGACTGTCATTGTTTTAGATTAAACAGATAAGGGTGAATAAATAATGTATAAAAACATTGCTAATTTTTTTTATTTTATTTTTTTACAATAAAGTATTTTGATGATTAAAAGAAAATGCTATTTTTTCATTAGTTAATTTAAAAAAAGCTTATATGAAGAGGTGAATTTGATAAAATGCATTCTTAAATTTGAGGAAATTTCAAATTGGAATGGTTGTGCTCTTATAAAATGTTTTACGATTAAAACATACCCAAGATTAAATATAATCTTATCCTAATATTAACTGTAATGAAGATTATATACGCTATTTTAAGTAAGACAAATAGTTTTTACTTAGGAATTAATGAATAGTTACAACGATACACTTTTGCAGACTACCTTAAATTATTGTCCTCTAAATTCTAAAAGAATGGTACGAGAAGTTTATCAATACATGACCTATTTATGGATAGGATTTTGGGAGGGGTTTCAGATTGTTTTACTTCCTCAACTACAATTACTCCGGAAGAAATACGTCCTTTGTTGATCATAGAATATTACAATTAAAATACTTGTAATCTTATTCTTAATAATAGTATAATCTTATTATAAAGTACAGTGCATTGTCATACAATATACTTGAACATGGCTGATTGTTATATCAATTGAGATGACAATATATTTATTCAGTGTTAATCATATATTCTAGAATACAACATATGTGGGAAGTGGAAGGCTTGGGAGCACACAATGTGATTATTAACTAATGATAAATAGTCAGGTAAATCAGTTATGGGGATTTGCATGGTTGAGAAAGCCCAGTTTAGAATGGAGACTAAAAACATGGGAGGCGGAAAGCTCTTGAAAAATCCTTCCAAGTTCAGTATAGGCAGCAGATTGTGCTGGCTGAGCGGGAGCCTCAGTTTGTTTCTGCTTTATTCCAATCGCTTCTTCTTTTCTTCCCTTCTTCCGAGCCGGTAATTCATAGAGATCTTCTTCGTCGCTTTCTTCATCCATTCTATGGTATTCACGTAAAAACGCTTGATAATCAAATTGGAGCAACAAAGGTTGACTCGAGCCCGCGCCTAGGCATGTCAGAGAGGCATCACGATAGTTGACGTTGGATATAAAGGAATTGATGACTACTTTATGGCCTTCCTTGAAGCTCCTCGTGGAGATTACATAGAGGCCGTGGCGACTCAGCAGCTTATAGAACTGCTTAATGATGGTCGTCTTCTCGACCCCATGTATGCAGACGCCGACGATGAAGGGTAGGCCGCTCACCCCGAGGCACCGGGCGAGGTGGTGGAGCCGTCCCGGCTCGATCGAGAGTAGCCCGAAAGCCATCCACTTTTCTCTGTCGAAAACTAAAATATACCTGAGCTCTTCGTTGATGAAGGTTGGTAGCGGGTCCACGTGCTTAGCCATATCGTGCCTTACAAGAAGTGCCTCGCCACAGATTCTCTTGTAGTCGCGGTTCTTGAAGTGGAATGTCTCGAAACCTTTGACGGGGGGCAGTTCCCTCTTCTTAACATCGCTGAATAGAATGATGTCCGCCCCCTCGAAGCTTTCAAATGTTAATTCTTAATGCCACATTAATATACTCAACATAGTAGGTTTCTGTTCCATTGTGTCTTTTTTAATTCCCAATCTTCGTATTTCTGAGTTCTAAATAATATCTTATTTTATGAGGACTACCTTTGAGTTTCAGTGATGATTTTCATAAAGGAGGTTTACCATTCGAAATGAAGTCTGAAACAAAATAAAAGTTTATCAAGTGCTAACTATAATTTGATGAATCTAAAACAATTTTGTTTATAAATAAACTATAGAAAATAAAAACACCAAGAATATGCATAAAACAGAACTCCCTTCAATATCTGTATTAATAAATATATATATATATATATATATATATATATATATATATATATATATATTATATATATATATATATATATATATATATATATATATATATAAAAAATTTCTTCAATCGATTTGAGTATAATATTTTAACTTAATTATTATAAAAAGAATTTTTCGGGGCCACAATGTCAGTATTGCGCAAAGATACAAAAATAGCCTTAAAAATCCCTCTTCCCTCAACTCAAAGATCGGACCAACCAAGAAAAACTAGCTGCAATCTGCAAAAGGCGAACAGAAAGGACGTTTCTGGGGCGAAGGAATCTGCTTCCAGTTGTAATTCAGTTTCTTCTATATGCGGAAGATATTGTCCTAATTGCTGATTCCGTGGAGAAATTACAGCAGGCAGTTGACGAATGGAACGAGGAGCTCCTCAGGAAGGGTATGGTCATCAGTACAGGAAAGAGCAAGATCCTACAGGTTGAAAGGGAGCAGGAAGATGTTAGAGTGTATTGCAGCAGGGAGGTGATGGAAGAAGTGTCAGATTTCACCTACCTTGGCACTGTTATGGATCAGTCTGGGAAAGTGGATTCAGAAATTCTGAACAGGATAAGCAAAGCAAACGCTATATACCACTAGCGGATCCAGGATTTAATTTCGGAGAAGGGGCTTCAGCCCGAAATTTTTTTTTTTTTTTTTTATAAAAATAACGATAATTAGTTTGGAAAAACAGAAAGAAACTAACTATCTATATGAAATGGTGTTTAAGTGATTCCTTAAGTCCTTTTAAATGTAATTACACGAACAATAATACTTTAAGAGGTATTTTTTCAATTTTTTTTCCATAAAACATGGTTATATTTTACCATTTTGGGGGGCGGCTTCAGTCCGAAACCCCCCTCTCCACCGTCCCCCCGTAGATCCGCCCGTGCTATATACTACCAGATTTGCAATACTGTGATCGGAAAGAGAGAAGTGAGCAGAGGTGGGAAACTGTACATATTTAAACAGTATACCTGCCTGTACTTCTGTATGGTGCAGAAAGCTGGGTGATGACTGACAAACTGGAGAGAAAAATCACTGCTGCAGAAATGAGGTTTCTCTGTAGGATCGCAGGGAGGAATTGGGGGTTCTCCCCGATGAAGGATGTCCTAAAGGCAGCTTAAGTAGTTTGGGCATGCCATCAGGATGGAAGAAAACAGCGATCCATTAAAGTTATGGACTACATCCCCGATGGCAGAAGACCCCGCGGCAGACCGAGAATGTCGTACCTCGAATACGTAGACCGCCTGCGCAAAAGCAGAAATAAGAATACACGCCAAGCCAGGAATCTTGCAAGAATCAGGGAAAATTGGCAATCCTGGTTAGACGCTCCCCTACGCTGAAAGGCACTACAGGGTGATGCAAAAGCAGAAGAAGTTATTTATGAATTAAAATGCTCAGATTGTGACGGAAAGTACGTCGGACAAACCTCACAGAACCTATCTAGGAGGGTTTATGCGCATAAATGTAGCATTGACAGCAAAAAAAAAAAGGAGATACGGCGTTAGCTATTCATGCTATTAAGAATAAGCATAAAATTCAGTTAGATAAAGTCGAGATACTAGACATGGAAAAGAATCAGCAAAAAGGGTTGATTCTAGAGATGATGAAAAATGGAAGGACCCAAAAACGTAATAAGTACCCGGAATGATTCGGCGACATGAATTTTGCGTATAGCAACATTTTAAAATTATTATAATTTAGATGAAGGATTTCTTTTGATTTTTTGGGCAGGTTATCTGTTACTGTTGTGTTTGGTTAGTGAAGGTAAGAATACAATTAGAGAAAAGGAATTATAGTTGAATTTTATTTTTTATTTATTTATTTTATTTATTTTTTAATAATGTTTCATGATTTCATAATGTTGACAACATTATACAAGATGACTAGTGTATATATATTTTAAGTAGTTGATATTTATTTATGTTTTTACCAATTTTAAATTAGTTGATGTTTATTTATATTTTTAAAAATTTTAAAGTTAGTTCGATTATATATATATATATATATATATATATATATATATATAAATGTATTTAATGTTAATTAGTTTGGATGCGTTAATTTATAACCAAGAGTTTTTATAAGTTATTTTTGTTGTTGATAGAGATATTCTTGATGCCGTTATATTTATCATGGATGCATTTTTCATATTCTTTATATAAAATAGATGCAATTTTCATTGTTTAGTATGTAATAATTTGTCTTCGGGCTCAGGACCGGGGTGGGCATACGCTTAGCGATCCAGTAGCTTAATATATGTGCTAGTGGAAGGTGCTGAGGCTGTCGGTGTGTCCCTGGCCTGAGGTATCGAAGCTCTTTTTTAA